GCGGGGTTGTTGCAGCGAGAGAGGGCGCGCACGAGGAGCTCCGTCGGGAGGTCGAGGAGACAGGCGGGTGGCGGCGTGTCTGGATAGGTGGCGGCGGTGGAGGCGGCGGCGGCGATGCTGCGCGAGCGGCGCGAGCGGCGCGGCGGGGTGGACTTCGCGAAGAAAAGAATTTCGAGAGCGCAGACCATTTCAAATCGCGCTGCGTGCCTGGCGCTGTCCCTTGTCAGAAGCAGGAGAACTCCCGTTGCCTGGGCGGCGGCGAACACAAGTCAACTCAGCAGAGGGCGCACACATCCCTCGCCCCGTTGTCCACTACTTCGTTGGCGCGGTCCTCGAGAGCATGAAGTCCTCGAAACCCGTCACCCGATTCCCGTTCATACTCTCTCTACACTCGATTTCCCCGCGGCACTGTCCATTATTGCGTGTGTTGCTTTTACGTAGTCCTAGCCGGGGGCTTGATAATTTTCGGGCTAGTCTTGTCGCATCCAGAGTGAAGAGTGATACAGTGCTCTTCCTGTGTGAGCTGTGGTGTTGGAACCTGCTGCGTCGCAAAATTGCAACATGCCCTTCCGCCCGCCCCGCTGCTCAATGTCGCCATCGGTGCTGATCATCCGGGCTGCCGCGCGCCCTTCGCAGTACGAAAAGATCGGCCGACGGCGAGAGCAGTCGGGCTAGATATTAACTCTTCGCATTCGCCTAGAATTTTACCTCCCCCCTCCCTTCTCCAGTAACGTCAGTGCATAAAGCTCTCCCCATGACATGATCTGGCTGATGAATGCGGAAATGCACCATGGAAGGTTGGTGTGCGGCGGGCCGGTGATAAGGGCGGCCCTCCGTGGCGATGGCGCTAAGAGGTTCCTCTTTTCGGCTTTCGCCAGCCTTTGCAGGCATCCTAAGTTCGGCGGCTCAGCCTCCTCTGCGCCAGGGATCGCGCGAGGCGCAGCACGCCCTGTGTCGTCTGCGCGAGATCCTAGTCCCTGGTTCACCGAGGTGCCCCCTACAGGGAGTCAGCTCAGCCGCGTTCCTTGTAGTGTGATGCCTTTAAGTCTTTAGGTGTTCGATGTGCTAGCTTGTGAGGCCTTGACAAACTTGATCTCTCGTGCGTGAGTCGTCGCCTCTTCTGTGGTGAGGTGGTCGAGTCCCACTCTCCTTAGTTCTTCATTCACTCGCCTGCTCAGTCGTAGTCTGCCGTAGTAGTCAATCGTCCCCATGGGTTCTACTTTGTCGCTGATTTCTTTCATGGTCGAATCGCTGACTCGGTCGCTCTTGCGTCTTATTCGTCGGAGCCTAGTTTTGGCCTCTCCCGAGTACGCTTGCATGTTTCTCACTAATAGGTTCAAGACCGCCTTCCAGGTTTGTTCGGGTTTGATGTCTTCCTCCTCGTAGAAGGAGACTATTATTTGATTCCACATGTGTAGGTGAAGTGCGTTGTGGACCTCAGGCGTGTCTGCCGAGGTTCCGATGATGGTGAGTAATCTCGGCGGTTGTATGTCTAGTGACTCTCCTTGTGCAAAGACCGCCCGGACGACTGGGCATACGTCGAGGTGTCGCAGCGTTTCGGAGGTTCTGTTACAAAGCCTGCACCTCGTGTGTGTTGTGGTGTCTAGTCCGTACGCCTTGAGCTGTTTCCGAAGGACCAGCTTCCTGTAGAGGATGTGTCGGCAATAGTTGTCGGTGATTGTGGGCGGAACTAGCGTGCTGTGTATTGCTCTTGCCGCGTGAATCCAATCCTGGGGGTGGACTACTTTGTTGCTTGTCTCAACTTTGTGGCGGAATCTTGACGAGCTGTCGTGCGGTCGGTCGGGTCGCGGTACTCGCGCCCATGAGTCTCTTCCTGCCTCTCTTATCCACCCTGGGCTTTGTAGGAGGTCCTTCTCCCAGTTTTTGAAGATCTTGGGTTGGGTCATATTCTTCCTGCTCAGGTACTTTGTGATGTCGCCGACGCTTATCTGATCGAGTGGTTTGTCGATCCCGTCGAATGTGTATGTCGCAGGGTGTGGCCAGGCCACCTCCTCGCTCTCTTTGTAGCCTTGTCCCCACTGTAGGGCGGGTAGTGGGTTCAGTCTGAGGAATTCGTCCTTAGTTATTTTCGTTCCTGGGTGGACTATTCCTTTGGCGTCTTGTTCGGCTAGCCAGTATTCCTCGTGCCAATGTCCGGCTCTCTTTTTGAGGGTTCGTACCAGGTACTTGTGGTTGTTTGCTACTGTGTCCTCTACGTCAAGGTAGGTGTAGACTCGTGCTGGTTCGAATTTTTCCTTTGGCGATGGGGCTGGGCCCGTTGTTGTTTGTCGAGGGTGTCTGCCTTTGTTCGTGACTACTGGGCCGTCGTGTAGGTTCAATAATTTGACTCTGAGCTCTAGTTTGACCTTCGTGGAGAGAGTTCGGAGCTTGGCTGCTACTGGCGGTCTTTGTAGCATTTTCAGGCTGCGGTCGTAGCCGTGCCAGATTTCCCTTTTTAGGAGGTTGGCCTTCCTGTGCGCAGGGTTGAACCCCCCTTTGTTGAGGATTATACCTAGCTCGTGCCAGGCGTAGTACACTTTCGCTCGGTCCGTGGTGTGCCATTTGCCTCCTGTTAGCGGCACGATTATCTGTTCATCTGTCGATCTGGGGTAGCGGAAATTGATGTATGGGTCGATGGAGGTGGCGAGGTATGCGGTATCGTCCGATGTGAAGTAGTTCGTGACTGTGAGTAGTTGGGCTGTGTTGAAGAGATTGTGAAATTTCGTTATTGAGGGGGGGAGGGGGAGGGTAGGGTTGTTAAAGATTGGTGTGGAGCGCGCCTCGAGCGGGTTGTCTGATCCTAAATATTTTAGTTGGAGCTCTCTTATATCATTTATGGCCTTGATCCAGAATGACGGCAGCTTGGAGGGGGCATCCCTTCGTTGCGCCCCCGGGTCGAGGCATCTGGTGAGGTCGTAGGCCTTGCATGAGGTTAGTACTGAGGATCGTCCTATCTCGGCTCTGGCGAGCCACAAGTCGAGGAGGGTCTTATACTGGCCTCTGCTTGCGTCTAGGTATCTGAGAAGTGCTTTTGCTCGTATGGCTTTGACGTGTTGCTCCCAGTCGCAAAGGGCGACTCCTAGGCCTATGAGCTCGTGTTTGGGGGGGGTGCCCCCGCCAGCGCTCCACTCTAGTCTTCTCGGGGCATGTGGGTTCTTAATCCACGGGGCTCTGTCTAGGTCCTCGTATGACCCTTCCTCTTCGGGGTCCAGGGCGGGGTGCTTGTCCCACATAAGGTGGTTTACGTCCGTGATGAGCTGTTCGTTGAACCACTCGGGTGGGTCCATCGTGAACGCCCAGTATCTGGGACGAGAGAAGATTTTAAAATTGGCGACTAGCGCTCTTCCTGTGATCTTCATGTCTTTGAGTCCTCTTAGGCTCGCCATTGAAACCTTGATTTTGGTGTAGAGTTCTTCCCAGAATTTATTGGACTCTTCTTGGGTCTCTTCGAGGTAGTATGGTATTCCTAGTATTTTAGTGTAGCTCCCTCTCTCTAGCCATTTGATGAGTCTGCTCCTCCCGTTTAGTGTCGGCGGCGGTTGGTGCTTCAGTGGTCCCAGTCGTATCCCTTCGAACTTGTTGGGGTTAGCTCTCATCCCTGTGGCTTCCTCATAAATCTGTAGTATTATCCACAGCTTGTCAATTTGGGCGTAGTCTTTGAGTAGTGCCTGGGTGTCATCTGCGAAGAGAGACGCTACTAACTCAACTAGGAGAGATCTATCATCTGGGTCGGTAATCTGGATACCTTCTGGTCGTACGTGTTGGCCGTCTATATCGACTCCCTCTTCGAGCATCCTTGTCAGTGCCTCGGCTACGAGGAGGAATGCTAGGGGAGAGAATGGGCATCCTTGTGGGACTCCGGATCTGATGTCAAAGGGGTTACTCTTTTTACCATTCGCCTTGACTCGTCTTGTGGGGGGGAATTTTGTGTTTGATAGTAGGCCCATCTTGGCGATGGCTTCTTCGCCCATGTTTAGAGCGTGCATCGCCTCGTGCATGTATTCCCAGCTGACTCTGTCGAAGGCTTTTTCCCAGTCGAGCGCTAAAATGATTCCTTCTTGGTCCATCTCGTCTGTGTATGCTTGGATGAGTTTCAGGAGGTGAGAGGCCTCGTTAATTATTCTACCCGGGACGAATCCCAGCTGGGCTGGGGAGATCACCTTGGTGATCCTAGTCTTGAGCCTGTTGACTAGTATGCGGGCATAGACCTTGTAGCCCACTTGGAGCATGGTGAGTGGCCTGTAGTTTCTAATTTCTCTCGGATCGCCCTTTTTATAGAGGCATATGATGTCTCCTTGTGTGAGGCACTCGGGGAGGTGTCCGGTCTTCGCGGCCTCGTTGAAGAGGTCGACTAGGTGGGGTATGAGAATTCTCTGGAACATCTTGTAGAAAGTTGGTGAGAGTCGGTCGGGGCCTGGTGATTTCCCCTCTTTCATGAGATTGATCGCGTCGCGGACCTCGTGTTTGTTGAAAGGTTTGCCCATGTCTGTGGCGTCAGCGTCCGAGAAGCGCTGTCCTTCCTCCAGTTTTGTCAGTAAGATGTCTCGTTTTTGTTTTATGGTTTGTTTTGGTCCGAACAGCCATTGATAGTACCTCGCTAGTTCGTCGCATATCTCGTCTGGGTCCGTCGTGACCCCGTTTTTCTCATCTGGCTTGTCCCAGTCGGGTGTGCGGTGTAGGGAGGAGATGGTTCTCGACGCGTGCCCCGGCTGGAGCTTTCGAAAGAAGCTCTTCGTGGGACGTTGTTTGAGCTCGGCCTTGCGTCTCTCGGTCTCGGCGTTGGCTTTTCTTTTCGCTAAGGCTTCCGCGTATCTTTCGTGTAGTTTGGCCATCCTTCGGGTGATCGCCGGGGATGATTGGTCTTTGTAAGCTTCTTCCATTCGTGCGATCCCTCTGCAAGGCGCGCGATACACATTGGTCCCTCCACTTACCTACAATCGCTGTGAACCCAGCCACGTAAAGTGAAATTGTGAATGATACACCGTCGCAAAACTGGCCGTCGCAAGATAAAACTTAAAAGTGCTAAAAAACAGCATTAACCATTATTTTGGACACAGCCGTACCTCGATCAGGTTCTCTCACAGCTGGAATGGATGACGACACTAGATGCATAGGCCATAGCGGATGCGCCGCTCTCGATAACAAAACTGAAGGCGTGTATCACTTGGCCGACCCTTGCTCCTCGTACAGCGACGGCCGGCGCGAGATGAGCTCGTAGAACTGGATGGTGTCGCCGCTCTGCAGGTCGGCGTAGTCGCGGAGGATGAGCCCACACTCGGACCCCTTCTTCATCGTCCGCACCTGGTAAGGTCACGCAAGGTTAACGTCTCCACACACACAAGGTGGTGGGGCAAGGGCCGGGCGACCCTCGCGACTCCACGTCTAGACGACGGGAGCCGCACGGCATTCAAGGTGCAAGGCCGTCCCGCACCTCCTGCTTGAAGTGCTTGAGCGAGATGACGTCCCCCTCGTGGATCACCTGGTGCCGAGAGGACCCGAGATGACCCGAGGTACCCGAGAGGACCCGAGAGGACCCGAGAGGACCCGAGGTACCCGAGAGGACCCGAGAGGACCCGAGAGGACCCGAGAGGACCCGAGATGACCCGAGACGACCCGAGACGACCCGAGACGACCCGAGACGACCCGAGACGACCCGAGACGACCCGAGAGGACGCCCCCCCCTCATGCGTCACCTCGCCGCCCCGCACCACCCGCACCGCGCTGCCCGCCGAAGCCTGGCCGGCCGTCACGCGAGAGCCGGCGACGGCGGTGTGCTTGGACATGCCGACGGCGCGGTCCTTGCGGTTGAGTGTGAGCGTGAAGACCTCGAGCACGTCTGCCTCCCCCGTCTCCCGCGCCTCCACCACGGGCTCGATCGCCGCCTAGTCCCGGCCCCAACCTCGGCTCAATCTCCGCCCAATCTCCGCCCAATCTCCGCCCCCGCCGCGCGGGTCGACGGCCGGGGCCTCCAGCATCTCCTTGGCAGCGTCGACGAGGGCGTAGATGATGCTGTGCGAGTGGACGGGCACCTGCAGCGTGGCGGCGAGGCCGGCGGCCTTGCTCTCCAGAGGCACGTTGAAGGCGATCACCTGCGGGACCATCTCTGGTCTGCAGCGCTACTCTCGACGCTGCCGCGAGGCTCCTCAGGCGACCGCCTGCGCGCCGACGCTCTGCGCCAGCTGCACGTCCGACTCTGTGACCGGCCCCACCCCCTCCCGCACCTAGGGGGGTGGGTTTGGGTACTGTGGAGGTAGGGGAGGGGTGCCGACCGGCCCCACCCTCCCCCGCCACCAGCTTGAGCTCGACACGCGCGCTCGGGAAGTGGGACAGGCCCTCCCGCGCGGCCTGTTCACAGCTGTCGGCCCCGTGTAGCTGTGAACAGGGGAGTGGGGCGACACCCTCCCCCGCGCGGCCTCGAGCGAGCCAAACGACTCCGCCTTGAGCAGCGCCGGCAGCAGCTTTGCACCTCCCCCCTTTCTCCCGCGCCGCGGCGCTGCGGCGGCGAGCGCCTGCGCGTCGGCACACAGGAGGGAGGCGTCGTGTGCACGCTTCCCAGGGAGAAGGGCAGCGCGCGTGTGTGTGTGGGGGTGGGGGGGGGGGGGGGGTGGGTCGGGTACCGTGGGGGTAGAGGATGGGTTCGGGTACCGTGGGGGTAGGGAATGGGTTCGGGTACCGTGGGGGTAGGGGGTGCGCCCGCCTGCGCCTCGGCACGCAACAGCCGGAACTCGACAACCTCCTTGGCGCGCGCCTCGGACGGCACCACCAGCAGCTCGTCGCCTATATAAGAGGCGCCGCTGCAAGGGGGGGAGAGACGAGACACCGACGGCCCCACGCAGCAGCTCGTCGCCTATATAAGAGGCGCCGCTGCAAGGGGGGGAGAGACGAGACACCGACGGCCCCACCACCAGCAGCTCGTCGCCAGCTCGCGGCATCTCTCGCACGCCGCTCACGCGCACCGGCACGGCCGGACCCGCCTCCGACAGCTGCGCCCCCTCCTCATCCAGCAGCAGCCGCACCTCAGGTGCGGGGGGAATGGATGGGGAGCTGTGGGGAGATATGCCCCCTCCTCGCCCAGCAGCGGCCGCACCTTGCCCCAGCTCTGGCCGGCGACAACATGGTCGCCCTGCCGGAGAGCGCCGCGCTGCACCAGCACCTGGCGCGTGCACAGGCGCGGGGGAGAAGTGTGTCCGTAATCCGAGATATGGGGAGATATGGGGAGATATGGGGAGATATGGGGCGCGCTCATCACCCTGGTGCTCCCTTGATATACCCTAAGTTTCTCCGAGACCTCGCGAGCGGGCGGTTATTCACAGCTGGGCAGTGTGGGATGGGCAGGGGTGGGCAGTGTGGGTTTCACACCCGGGGCAGGTAGGGGATCGGGCAGGCCAGTTGTGCGGCAGTGTGCGGGCAGTGTAGTGCGGCAGGGCAGGGCAGGGGCAGGGCAGGACAAAATATGGAGGGCGCATACACGAGAGAGGCGGATGACGCGCGGCTGGCTGGATGGGCAGAGCGCGAGGGACTACGATCTACACTCGGCCGGCTCGGCAGCACTGAAAAGCAATGGGCAACGGGGCGCAGGGCCTTCTGCTGCCCGTGTGTGTGTGTGGCGCCGCATCTGCGACCTAAACACACTCCAGGGGCAGGGGGCCCCGCCATACTGCTGTGAATACGTCCCGAACCAACAACTGCGACCCGGCAGCATCTGCTGCGCCGGAGTTGCTTCTAGGGAGAGGGGAGAGACGCGCGGCGGCGGGTGGCACCGTGCTGAGGATCCCGAGACCCTTGCTCATCACCGACTCGAGGACCTATGGCGCATGTGTTGTCTGTGCTGCCCGCAGGCTCACGAGATAGCCTGCACGGCCGTGTGGGGAGATATGGGGAGATATGGGGAGATATGGCCTGCACGGCCGTGCGGCAGTTGATCAGCGCGTGGCGGGGAGGAAGCGCGGGGTAGCGTAGACGCGGCACCGGAGGTGATCGGCTGAGAATGAAGAGAGCATAGCATCTCGGCGAGGACCGTCCCCATATCTCCCCATATCTCCCCATATCTCCCCATATCTCCCCATATCTCCCCATATCTCCCCATATCTCGGCGAGGACCGTCCCTTCCGCGGGTCCGTCGGGCGCCGCGCGCAGCTCGAGCATCTCCGCCTGCAAGGTGAGATGTGGGGAGATGGGGGGGATGGGGGGGAGATATGGGGAGATATGGGGGAGATGTGGGGAGATATGGGGGAGATGCAGCTCGAGCATCTCCGCCTGCAAGGTGAGATGTGGGGAGATGGGGGAGATATGGGGGAGATGGGGGAGATATGGGGGAGATGGGGGAGATATGGGGGAGATGTGGGGGAGATATGGGGGAGATGGGGGGGAGATATGGGGGAGATGTGGGGGAGATATGGGGGAGATGCAGCTCGAGCATCTCCGCCTGCAAGGTGAGATGTGGCGAGATGGGGGAGATATGGGGGAGATGTGGGGGAGATATGGGGGAGATGCAGCTCGAGCATCTCCGCCTGCATCATTGTTATTCTCATTCTTATTCCTATCATCGGCCTGCAGCGCTATGCTGTCGAGAAGCTCTTCCAGCCCAACCCGCTTAGTCGCGGAGACTGGCACGAGCGGCACCTAACCTCACGCAATCTCGGGTCATCTCGGGCGATCTCCCCTAACCTCGGGCAATCTCCGGTCATCTCGGGTGATCTCCCCTCGTGGCATGAGCGGCACCTCGCCGCCGTACGCCTCCATCTCTCCCAACATCTCCCCATCTCTCCCCATCTCTCCCGGCACCTCGCCGCCGTACGCCTCCATCTCTCCCAACATCTCCCCATATCTCCCCATATCTCCCGGCACCTCGCCGCCGTACGCCTCCAGCACGACCTGCTCCTCCAGCAGCTGCTGCGACAGCTTCGCCACCGCCTCGGGTCCGCCAGGTCTATCCACCTTGTTGGCGGCGACCACCAGAGGGCACTGCACCTCCTTCGCATACCGAATCGCCTCTCGCGTCGTGTCCTGCGCGAGAGATGGGGAGAGATGGGGAGAGATGGGGAGAGATGGGGAGAGATGGGGAGATATGGGGAGATGTTGGGAGTGGCGCAGCGCGAGCCGTGCCTGCGCGAGATATGGGGAGATATGGGGAGATATGGGGAGATATGGGGAGATATGGGGAGTGACGCAGCGCGAGCCGTGCCTGCGCGAGAGATGGGGAGATATGGGGAGATATGGGGAGAGATGGGGAGAGATGGGGAGATATGGGGAGATATAGGGAGTGACGCAGCGCGAGCCGTGCCTGCGCGAGAGATGGGGAGATATGGGGAGATATGGGGAGATGTTGGGAGTGGCGCAGCGCGAGCCGTGCCTGCACGCCCGCGTCAAGCGCCACCACGAGCACTATCAGATCCGTCGCGTGTGCGCCTAAGGTAAGGGTACGGGACACTTCTCCACACACACAAGGTGGTGGGGCAAGGGCCAGGCTAGTCCCTCGCATCCCCACGCCCGGCCACGGGCAGGAGCTGGCACGGCATTCAAAGTGCAAGCACTGGCCCGGGGCACGTGCGCACCGCGTTCGCGCATCGCAGCAAACAGCTCGTGGCCCGGCGTGTCGATGAAGGTGGCGCCGAGCTCCCTCCCTCCCGACGCGCCGACCGAAAAGGCAGAGATGGCCTGCGCGTGAGCTCAACAGAGGCATTCTCAAACAAACAGCAGTGCGTCCTACGCGAGAAATCGGCGACGGCCGAGAGGTTGCCTGCGTGATGCCTCCGGCCTCGCCCGCGGCGATGGAGGAGCCACGCAGCGCGTCAAGCAGCGAGGTCTTGCCGTGGTCCACGTGTCCCATCAGCGTCACCACCGGCGGGCGAAGCGGCAGCTCGGCGAGCTCTGCTGCGGACGGCGCCGGCCGCGGGACGGCGTCGACTTGCTGCAGCGAGACGGAGCGGCCGGTCTCGAGGGCGACGAGCTCGATGAGCTCGCGGCCGACCGGCGCGCTCTCCGACGCGAGCGGCTCGCCCAGCGACTCTGCCAGCGCCAGCAGCCCTTCCGGAGACATGCCGAGCAAGCCGGCGAGCCTGCCAGCGCTGCACAGCTCCGGCACCAGCACAGGATCGCCCGGGCCGCGGCGGCGCGCAGCCTTTGGCGCACCGCTGGCCAAGTGCCGCCTGGGCGAGGCGCTGGCGAGGCGGCCATCCAGCGACTGCCACAGCGGCCGGCACAGCAGGCTCCGATGGCATCGGGTCGTCGCGGCGCGCATGCTGCCTAGCGAAGAAAAGAATTTGAGCCCGCCTAGCGAAGAAAAGAATTTGAGCCCGGGTTAAACAAAATCTCTCACAGGAGTCCCTGTGTGGTTGGGCGTTTGATTTGCTCGACGATCACCCTCAAGCAGCATGGTGCGCGCCCCGCCCGCCGGGCACACGGGATACCCGACGCCTCCCGTGCACGCCACGCGGGAGGTAGTAGTAGAGATCGGCAGCGAGCTGAGACGGGTGGATACCCCAGCTCCGCGTGCCAGTAGCCCTGCCACAAGGCGCCAAACAGCACCACATTTAGCGACCACCAGAGCACCAGACGAGGTGCTGCCCGCCGAGGCCCGCGCACGCGAGGAAGCACGAGACACGACGGCGTGTGGGCCGCTCGGCGAGCAAAAACACGGGCGACGCCCGCGGCTCGCGCGGCAAGAAGGCGAGAAGGCGAGAAGGCGAGAAGGCGAGAAGGCGCAGAAGGCGCAGAAGGCGCAGAAGGCGCAGAAGGCCCAGAAGGCCCCCCCCTCCCCCCCACCAACTCGAACTGGGGACCAGCCGGCACGAGAACGGGACACGAGCGAGAGAGCCACCACGCCGGACAGGGAGAGATACAACGGCGAAGCACCAGCTCATATACCTGTATTATTATGCCGCGCGGCTCAGTGCGGGCGGTCATGGAGGCCTCACCTTCGAAAAGGGAGGCTACGTGGACCTCTCGGGAACAATCGGGCGACACGGCGCCGCTCTCCTCCCCCTCCGCCGGCGCCGCGCCGCCGGGGAATTCCTCCTCCATTGGGTCTGACCCAATGGTCAGACCCGCCTCCGCGGCCTGCGCCCCCGCAGGCGCCGCGCTCCGCGCGCAGGGTGCGGTCGCCGCCGCGGCCTCCGCCGCCAGCCGCCGCCCCTCCTCGCCGTCCACCACCGCCGCGCTCGTACCAGCGCTGGCGGTGGGGAGGCGGGGTCCAAGCTGCTCCTCAGAGAGGGAAGCAGCAGCAGCTGCTGCCTCCTCCTCGTCGGAGGTGTAAGCCTCGCCGCCGCGCAAGGCGCCGAGGCCGCGCCCGCCAGCGGCGGCCGCGCCGCCGCTCGCCTGCGCGCCAGCCGCAGGCCCAGGCGGGCCGGCGACGGAGAGCGAGGCAAAGGCAGCTGCGAGTGCTGCTGCTGCGGCCTCTGCGCTGCGCAGCGTCTTGTCGGGCAGCACGCGCTCGCAGAGCGCGAGCGCTGGGCGCTCAGAGCTGCGTCCCCTGCTCGCCACCCCGACGCCCAAGGCGCCCGAGCGAACGACAGGCGGCACGCGAAGACTGGTTGCAATCCCGCCGACCGCCAGGCCGCGGGATGATGCGTGCGTGGTCTTGTAGTGGGTCTCGGAAGCTCCCCTCTCGGGCTAGGAGCCAGCCCCTCTCCCTTGCCCTCGCTCGGAACACAGTGTCCGAGTCGAGGCGTGTGCTTGCCGGTCGACGGCCGCGCGCGGTTGGCATTGTAGATCTAACGAAGGTTGCGCGCGGCCGCCTCGGGGTTGGCATTGTGATTCTCGCACCGAGGCCGCCTCGCGAGCGAACCCACTAGGATACTCGTTGTAGTACCAGGGTGAAGACACAGCAGCTGATTGTGACACAGCAGCAACGGCGATGCCATGGCGGGCCGCCCCACCGAGCCTGCGCGGTTCCGAGAAGAACAGTAAGTACGCGCGCTTCTCGATGTCTCGCCGCTTCCCGCTCTGGGCGCTGCGCGTGCGCGACCTCATCGCGCTTCCCGACAAACATTTGGCACGGCACGAGGATCTGGCCGCGCGCGGCCTGCTGCACGAAATCACGGAGGACGATGAGTGCGTGCTCTTTGTGAGCCACACATGGCTCGGCAGCTCCCATCCGGACCCGGACGGCTGCAAGCTCCGCCTTCTGCGCGGACTGCTCATGGACGGGCTCAACGGGAAGCTGGACATCCACGAGTGGCCACTGCAGCGGCTCGTGTGGGGCGAGATGCACATCTCGGCCAAGCACCTCGCCGAGCACCTTGCCGACGGCTACCTTTGGATTGACTACTGCTCGATACCGCAAGCGGCTGAAAACGTCGAGGCGCGCCTCGACGCCATCAGCAGCATCGGGACCTACATCACCTCGTGCTCGCTCTTCGTCGTACTCGCGGGCGCGTGGCGGCACGAGGGCGGCGCGCCTCGCGACTATCGGGCCTGGAGTCGTCGCGGTGAGGCCACCGCCTCCGCGGGCTGGGTGTAAGAGCTGCGGCGTTCGCACGCACGCCCTTGAACTTGTAGGGTGGTGCCGGCTCGAGCAGCTTGCGAATGCTCTCTCGCCGATGCCAAAGTGGCAGATCGTCGCCCAGTCCTCCTCTTCCGTCTTCACCTACGGCGGCTGCGGGCAGATGGCCAGCAACTGGCTCGCGACTCCAGTCGGCCACGGCGATTTCACCGTCGAGAGCGACAAGGAGGACACACACGAGACACACACACACACACACACACACACACACACACACACACACACACACACACACACACACACACACACACACACACGGCTCACCCACGCGCACCGGGCCTTGCACATTTGATGCCGTGGGGCTCCTGTCGTCTAGACGTGGAGTCGCGACGCCCGGCCCTTGCCCCACCACTCTGTGTGTGTGGAGAAGTTTGCACCGCACCGCACCTTAGGAGATCCTGGGCCCGCGGATCCTCGAGCTGCTCAACACGCGCGCGGCGCACGCCCTCTCCACCGGCGAGCTTCTCTGGTACCGCGTGCTCACGGTACGAGGCCTAGCGCAGTTCGGCGCAGCATCAACCCTTTCAAAGTCGGTGTCGAGCCACCGGCGTAGCAACGCGTCGGCCAACCCACAAATCCGTGCAAACGTAGCTGCTATGCGCATTGTATCTGCTGCCTCACAGTTCCGTGCAAGCTGAGCTGCTCGGGCGCGCAGGCGCTCGCCGAGGCCATCCTCGCGGGCACGGGCAGCGAGGTGGACCTCCCTCAGCAGAGTGAGCCACTCGACGCCTGGCTGCACCGCATGCAGTTTTCCTCGCCCACCGACGGGCGCCGTTCCGGACTGACGCCGCTTCGCTTCGCAGTCCTGGCACGCCGCGGCGACCTCGCCAGCGAGCTGATTGCGGCGGGCGCAGACGTCGAAGCCCCACTCGCGCAAGGGCACCCCTCGTTCGACTTTATCCGAGGCGAGACCATTCTGTACCGGCTGTGCCGCTTTCGCGATGCGCCCGAGCTGGTCAGTATGCTCCTCGACGCTGGCGCGGACCCGACGCGGCACGATAAGGAAGTTGGTGCGACCCCGCTCCACACCGCCCTCGCTGGCGGCCACGCCGGCAACATCCGTGTCCTGATGGAGCGCTGCGGCGGCGCCATGCTGCGCTCCGTCACCGCTTTCGGCGATTTGCCGGTGGGCATCGCCGCCTTGTTTGGCCGCAAGGACGGCATCCAGTGCTATTTGCGCGACGCCGCGCCCGAGCAGCGGGAGGCCGTCTTCGCCAGCCTGCAGTCAGTTGACGGCTTCGGCGCTTGCCTTCTCACGGTGAACCTCTCCCTCGGCGTCGGCGACGTCGAGACGCTCGACTTTTGCATCAGCCAGGGCTGCGACGTCAACCGGCGCACGCCGCGGGCGCTCTGTTCCAGCTCTTCGACGGCAGCAACCCCCCCCCTAATGCTCATCAGCCGCGCTGTCTGCTTGGTGTTCGACTGGCTTTCGAGGATGGCCCCCCCATTCTTCGAGCTCTTTGACAACATGCCGGGCGCGGCGCCACTGCATTTCGCAGCTCTGACGGGCAACCTCGGGGCCGTCGACTTGCTCCTCACGCGCCGCGCGGACCCGGACCTAAAGAACGCTCGCGGGCGAACGGCCCTCGCTCTGGCTGCAATGGCGGGACACAACGACGTTGTGCTTCGCTTGCGCGCTGCCGGCGCCCGAGACATCGAGGCGGACGGCAAGGGCGGCGGCGAGGATCGGCGGCGTTGCTGGCTACGGTGCGTGCCGTCCAAGGAGGAGACGGCCCAGCTAGGCGAGCACTCGGCCACACTGAGGTGACGCGCCGGGAGTCAGACCGGGCGGTACGGCGGTAGAGCGCCGTGTAGCGAGTACTCGAGCATTGCACGGAACCCATCTCACATGGCGCATGACACATGGGGTGATTGATATGTCGTACGTTCTACGTATGTGACTAGTTGCAAATACGGGTGGTGTGAACATGATGAATTTTAATATGTTTTTTGTCCGTGTTGCTCCCAACGCCCTCGCCCCCGCTCCCTGAGGCCATGGCTTCGAAATGTACTGGGACAGAGCTCCTGTCGGGACCCGACTCTGATCCAGGGCTGAGCCCCTAGCGGCGGGCTCGCTCAGGGCGGCTCGAAGCCGAACTTGACAAACCTTCCCGCGTGCCCGGGCTTCATCCCCGTCTCCTTGGCCACGTCCGCCCGCTCGGCGGCGTCCAGTCCGCGCAAGAACGAGATGTCGTCGTAGCCCTCGGCGTCAAAGGCGGCGGCGTAGGCCTGCAGGTTGATCTGCGCCAGCGCCGCGGCGACGGCCGCCATGCCGCCCGTGGGCGGAGGGGGCGTCTCCCTCAGCACGGTGCGCCCGTCCGGTGTGGTCGTGAACAGGCGGCTCGAGAGCGGCGAGGGGCCGGCAGGGGCGGCGGTGGAGGTGGGGGCGGCGGCGGCGGCAGTGGAGGTGGAGGCGGAGGCGGCGGGGCGGGCGGCGGTGGCGGGCGCGGCCAGTGCGGTGGGTGCGGTGGGTGCGGTGGGTGCGGTGGAGGAGGAGCAAGAGGAGGAGGAAGCGGCGGGAGGGGTGGAGGAGGAGGAGGCAGCCGAGGGGGCGGCGGCGGCGGCGCGGCTAGAGCGCCGCTTCGGCAGCGGCGCGTCGGTCGGCTCGAGCGGGCGCTTTGCTGGGCGGGGCCGGGCGCCGCTGCCACCGGCGGCGGAAGAGGAGGAGCGGTCCGGTGCCTGCCCGACCGCCCGCGCGTACGCCACCGCGGCCTCCACCGCCGTGTCAAAGATGCCGACTTGGACCTTTCTTCCGCGCACACAGTGCTGCGCCCGGAAGCGGCCACTGTGATGCTTAGACACCCCCTTGTAGCCGGTGGCGTGGCTGCCGGAGAGGTGCAACCGCAGCCCCTCAAACTCTGTCGCCACCGTCGGAGGAGGCGGAGGAGGTTGAGCCGGAGGTTGGTACTCGCCGACTGCTCGCGCGTACGCCACCGCCGCCTCCACCGCCGTGTCGAAGGTGCCGAGCGAGACCTGCCTGCCGCCCATCCGGCGCCGCGCCTGGAAGCGGCCGTCTCGCGAGTACACGTGCTTGTACCCGGTGGCGCTGCTGCTCGAGAGGTGCAGCCGACGCCCCTCCGCTACCTCCGCCACAGGCGCCTCCGCTGCCGCTGCCGCCGCCGCCGCTCCCTCCTCCAGCGGCGCCGGCTCTTCTGCCCCTGCCGCCGCCGCCGCGCCCGCCGCCTCCTCCACCACCGGCTCGGCAGCGGCTGCGCCTTCTGCCGCCTCGCCCAACGGTGGCGGTGCCGCCGACGCCTGCCCTGCTGCTGCCGCCACCGCCGAGCCCGCTTCCGGCGCCTCGCCGACCACCCGCGCATACGCCACCGCCGCCTCCACCGCCGTGTCGAAGGTGCCGAGCCAGACCCTCCCTCCGTCCACAGTGCGCTGCGCCAGGAAGCGGCCAGAGGGCTGCTTGAACACGCCCTTGTAACCGGTGGCGTTGCTGCTCGAGAGGTGCAGATGCAGACCCTCCGCCTCCGCCGCCACCGTCGGGGGAGGATGAGCCGGAGGCTGGTACTCGCCGACCGCCCGCGCGTACGCCACCGCCGCCTCCACCGCTGTATCGAAACGGCCTAGCGTGACATTTCTTCCGCCCACACTGTGCTGCGCGTAGAAGTAGACGCGGCCGTGTCGCAAGTCCTTGCGCACCCCCTTGTAGCCAGCATTGCTGCTGCTGGACAAATGCAGACGCAAGCCCTCCGCCTCCTCCGCCAGGGGCGCCTCCTCTGCCGCATCCGCCGCCGCTCCCTCCTCCAGCGGCGCCGGCTGCTCTGCCCCTGCCGCCGCCGCCGCGCCCGCCGCCTCCGCCTCCACCGGCTCGGCAGCGGCTGCGCCTTCTGCCGTCTCGCCCAGCGGTGCCGCCGACGCCTGCCCTGCTGCTGCCGCCACCGCCGAGCCCGCTTCCGGTGCCTCGCCGACCACCCGCGCGTACGCCACCGCTGCCTCCACCGCCGTGTCGAAGCGTCCGACGTGGACTGGCCTTCCGCGCACATAGTGCTCCGCCCGGAAGCCGCCACTGTGATGCGTAGATATAGTCACCCCCTTGTAGCCGGTACTGGTGCTGCTGGAGAGGTGCAGCCGCAGCCCCTCCGCCTCTGCCGCCACTGTCGGAGGAGCCGGAGGCTTGTACTCCCCGACCGCCCGCGCATAGGCCACCGCCGCCTCCACCGCCGTGTCGAAGCGGCCTAGTGGGACACTTCTTCCGCCCACACTGCGCTCCGCGTAGAAGCGGCCGTCTCGCGAGTACACGCCCTTGTATCCCGTGCTGCTGCTAGACAAATGCAGCCGCAAGCCTTCCGCGACCGCCACGGGCGCCTCCGCCGCCGCTCCCTCCTCCAGCGGCGCCGGCTCGTCTGCCCCTGCCGCCGGCGCCGCGGGCGCCAGCAGGGGCGGGCTCTGCTCGCTCTCCTCCGCAGAGGCCGCAAGCTCCGTAGCAGCCGCCGGCTCCGGCTCGTCGTCGCTGTCCAGCTCCATCGGACACGCTGCGCTGCTTCCCGGCAGCGCAGCCTCGCCACCGCCACCGCTGCCGCCGCCGCCTCCGCCACCGCCGGCCTCCTCGTCGCCGCCACCCTCCTCGCCGCCCTCGCCGCCCCCACCGCCCTCTCCGCCCTCTCCGCCCTCTCCGCCCTCGCCGCCGCCCGCGTCGCCCGCGCCGCCCGCGCTGCCCGCGCCGCCGTCGCCTCGCTCGCCTCGCTCGCCGCCCTCGCTGCCCTCGCTGCCCGCGCCGCCCTCGCCGCCCGCCGCCTCGGCAGTGGCAGTGCTTGCCGCCGCTTGAGTGTCCGCCTCTGCAGCCGCAACGCCGGCGGCGGGCGCAGGCGGCCCCTCGCTTGGCGCGGCGTCCGCGAGCTCTTTGAGGCGGAGCGAGCACTTCTGCTTCTCCTCGTTCCAGACCAGCACCAGGCAGGAGGCGCCCGCCTTCATCTGTGCCTTGACGATGCAGCTCCCGCAATCGCACGGCATTTTGAGCCGCAGCGTGTGCGGCTCCGCTTTGGGCTCCATGGTGAGGCGGAGCTTTCGGAGGTGTGGCGCGGCCGAGCTCTCCCTGTCAAGCGCGCGGGCGAGCCGCCCGCTCTCCGCGAGGCTCTGCCAGGAGAGCGGCGCCGGCAGCGTCGAGCAAGAGCCAGCCATCTTTACTTGCAGGGTTCGGACTTTTTGCGGTATGGTACAGCTATGTACAGCTTGCCGGCCGGAGAGATTGCTAGAGGTGGAGCATGCTGCTCTAGCCTCACATGTCACTTCCTGTCGTCTGTTGTTTGTTGTGCCCTTGTTTGTTTCTCTTGGCACCTTGGAGTGCTGGGGGGGGCGACAGGGAGGATGTGGCCTTGAGTTATGTGTACGCCAACTCAGGGTGTGTGGCAGCCAGCTGGCTGTGTGTCTTGTGAGCCTGTTTGTGTCTGTGTGTCGCTCGTGCGTGTCGTCATCATCTGTCCAGCGTCCACCCATACCGCGTTGGTGTCCAGTCCGAGCCTGGCTGTTCTTCACCTTTCTACCTACCTACCTACAGCTTGTTTTATTCTTTGCGGCTCCCGTGGTGTACCTGTTAGTGCCAGTGCGCGCCAGTCCAGTGCCGAGTGCAGAGTTTTCGCTCCCGCCCCGCGCGCCGGCAGCCTCTCGCTCTCCCCCTCCGTCCTGCGCGGCTCGGGCCACACTCGCCAATCCTCTCTCCGCTCCTCTCGGACTCGAGTCGACGTCGGAACATCTATTCTTTTCCCCACAGAGGCTCGTCTAGTAGAAACAACGTTGGCCGCGCTGGAGGTGCCGGCTGCGCAATCGCCTTCCCTTACTCAAGTCATTAACCACCCACCCACCCTCCCACCCCCACCCCCCCACGGGTGCTCAGAGCCACGCCTCGCGAAAGTGCGGCGGCGCCCGCGCGAGCGCGGCCGGGTCGGACTCACAATCCATCCAGATTCTCCGGCCGCACCCGCACAACCTCACCCCCCCCCTCCCCGCTTTGGCCGCTGCCCTCGAGATGCACCACGTAGTGGCCGCCGCCTGGGTCTCGGTCTCCCTCGAAGCTCCGCGCCACGCCCCGCCGCCCGTTGATCGGGGCGGGCCGAGAGCCCGCCGAGCACGACTCGCTCCCCGAGGCGGCTCCGGGCAGGGACAGGGCTGAGGCTACGGGATGGGCAGGGACCGGCTACGGGATCGGACCGGGCTGGGGCTCCGGGCAAGGCTGGGCTGCGTCTGGCCGAGCGCCAGCGCCCGCAGCAGCTGGCGGGTCTGCGCCTCCTGCTGCGCTTCCTTTTGCCGTGCCTGCTCCTTTTGCAGCTCCTTCAGCGCGCGCCTGCCGGCCGCGGCGCTCGCCTCGAGCTTCGCTCGCCGTGCCGCCTCTTCGACGTGCGACCGCGTCGCCTGCCGCCGCTGCGGCGAGTCGAGCGGCGCTGCCCCCTCCAGCTGCCCGATGTAGCGGTGCTCGCCGTGCTCCTCCTCCTCGTCGAAGACGATGCGCGAGCGGCCGTCGGGCAGCAGCTCGGCCACCGTGCCCTCGCCGCGCCTGCCGTGCTTGACGCGGTCTCCCCGCTGCGGCACCTGTTCACAGCTAGAGGTGTGAAGAGACGCTGTTCACAGCAGCTTGTGACGCGGTCTCCCCGCTGCGGCGCCACCTGCTTCTTCCTGCGCTCGGTGCCAAAAGCCTCGGACCTCCCCTCGCCGTGCAGCTCCTGGTGGTCCGGCTGGTCAGGCTCGTCGGCGAGCTGATCGAACCGCCTCTCTCGCCGCCGCCGCCGGCGGTGGCGGCAGGCGACGCAGCAGCCGGCGGCGACGGCTCCGAGCAGGGCTGAGAGCTCGACGCTCCCCAGCAGCCGCCGCTGCACGCCGCTTGCCGCGTCGAGCTCAAGGGCCTCCGCGAGGGACTGGCCAACCGACTGCGCCATGCGGCTGGCCATGCGGGCGAGGAGGCCTTCCCACGAGGGCGTCGCACTCTCCGACGGCGTGTCGCCCTTGGCGACGTGCGCAGGCGGCACGGGCGGCACTGGAGGAGCAGCCGCCACCTCGGAGAGGTGACCCGGACGCACGAGCACGCTCTCGCCGCCGCTCTGCGGCGGCGGTGGCGTATGGGGCGGCGGCGGCGGCAGCGGCGGCAACGGCGGCGGCGGCGGCGGCGGCGGCGGCGGCGGCCGTGGCTGGCAGAGGAGCGCATCAATCGCTTCTTGCGCTCTCATCCGGTCCGTGAGCTCGACATAGCTCTGGTTGCTTCGCCGCCCCGGCAACCACTCATTCTTGCCGCTCTTTGGGTCGATCGAGTTGACGCCGTCGCACTGCGTGCACTCGCTCAAGCCCACGCCCTCGCGGCTGACTCCGCGCACCGCTAGGAGGGCGGCTAGCGGGTCGTAGCTGGAGCGGCCTCCCGGGCCCCACCCCCAGCCCGCCCGGTCGCGAAAGTCCATCAGGGCGTGCCTAGAGTCCACACCGTAAGGCCGCGTCACCTGTGTCGCTGGTCGCGTGGGCGCGTGGAACTACTTTGCTCGCTACGAGGAGGGCGTGCCGGCACGGGTTGGCCGGCGCTGCGCACAGCTCCATCACCGCGCCAGTCCGCACCACGTCCCCGACGCGCCACCCGAGGTAGATGGTACGGACGGACGGCGGCACGTTTGCTGCGACGAAAGAGGACGCGGCTGCGGCGGTCGCCCTGGAGACGGCGTCCGCGCCGTTGAAACAGCCGCACGCATTGCACTCGGCGAAGCGAGGCCCGCTCGTCGGGTAGTCTCCCGCCATGATTGAGAGGAGAGCCACCTTTTCGGCCACCAAAGCGTAGCCTACAGGGGAGGCTCTCAGAGACAGTAACGAGCACTTCTCCACGTGTTAGGCCGCTGCTTGATGAGGGAGAGGGGCCGTCCAAGGGGCTATGCGCGTCGGGGCCCGAGCGAAGCAAGAGCTCCAGATTCGTCAGCAGACCGACAGACGCGATTGTGACTGAACGCGGCGGCGAGGCGGCGAGCACGCGCCGGTACACGTCGACGGCGTCCGGCACCTGTGAGGCGTTCCGGATCGGCGAAGGGAAGGCTTTCAGGACACTGTCGACAAACGTGAGCGGAGGCTCTCCCGCCAGCGTCAGCCCAGACCCCTTGTACGCGCCAATCGGTATGTGGTCGCGGCCGTAGAAGTGGTTCACCACAGAGATGACGCCTGCTCCTGCGGGCGGCGCGCTGTCCTGCACAACTGCGAGCAGCTCCACCTCGCCGTTGTCCGCCAGCGCATGGAGGGCGCACAAGGCAACGACGTCGTCGACGTCGCGGCAAGCGCCACACCCCATGTCGGTGTCAAGGATGAGCCTCACGGCCGGCGGCGAAGTTGGTGGTTGCAGCGGCGGCGGAGGCGTCGATGGCGGCGAAGTTGGTGGCGGCGGCGGGGCACCCGGCGGCGGAGGCGCCGTCTTGAAGAGCAGACACGTGCACGGCGTTCCCGCCGCCGTGTGGGCGACTGCGGGGGAGGTGTGCACCTCGCAAGCCTGGCTCACTCTGTTGTACCCGATGGCGGTGCATGTTTGCAGGTGTGTGAGGCACCTGCCTTTGCACTCTTCCAGGCCGGCGGCCCACGCGCGGGTAAAGGTGCTCGCATGAGGCGTGCTGACGCCCACGGCATCCGTCCTGCAGCATCCGTCGCTGCCCTCGATCGGGTCATGCCAGAGGCCAGGCGGAGGGCGGGTCGGTGGCGGCGGCGTTGGAGGCGGCGGCGGCGGTGGTGGCGTATGAGGCGGCGGGGGGGGCGGCGTATGGGGCGGCGGGGGCGGCGGCGGCAGCGGCGGCGACGGCGGAGGTGGCGGCAGCGGCGGCGGCGGCGGCGGCGGCGGCGGCGGCGGCTCAGGCGGCGCCGCCGCCGGCGGTTGCGGCGGAGGCGGCTCAGACGGCGCCGCCGCCGGAGGTTGCGGCGGCGTCGACGGCGGGGAAGACGGGGGTGGCGGCGGCGGTGCGTTCGGCGGCGGCGCGTGCGGCGGCTTCGCGGTGGGCGGCGGGGAGAGGGGTGACGGCGAGGGGGACGGCGGCGGAGGGAGCGGTGGCGCGACTGGAGGCGACGGAGGGAGTGGTGACGGCGGCCATGTCGGCGGAGGCATCCCGGGCGGCAGCGGCGGCGACGGCGGGCTCGGGCGTGGGAGTTTGAGCAGGTGCCAGGGAGGGGACGGCGGTGGCGCGGCGGGCGGCACTACTCTGCTGGCAGCATGCGGCTGCGCCACGAGGCTCAAAGGCGCGCAGTCGCCACACTCGACCGGAAACTCGCCCGCAACCGTGGTGCAGGCGGCGTGCTCGGTGAGACCGCCGCCGCGCGTGGACTGGAGCCAGCCAAGACGCGCGGCGCACGAGAAAGCTCCGGCGCGGTTGGCCAGGACCGTCGGGGTGCAGGACGGCGCGCAGGGCATTGTTGCGGTCGCTTTCGCGCGGTGTGGAGTGGCGTCTCGTGAACAAAGAATTCTTTTCAAGCCTCAAAGAAAGCAGCCTCGATTGCCATACAGACATGGGTGCGAAACAACGACAAGACCAAGGCACGGGCAGAGGAACGAGAGAAGAATATAGGGTGGATAAAGCGCCTGTTCACGGCATGGAGGGTGAGCCACACCGAACGTACCGAGCGAAGAGCCGAGCGGAAGGAGGACGGGGAAGATGACTCAGAGGAGGACGAACCAGTGGAAATTCAGTTGTCAGATGTCACGATGCATCCGAAGGGGACCCCAGCGCCGGCATCATCCGTAGAGGCACGAGTGTTCGAAGAGAGAGTGGACCTGAGCAACAACATGACTTGGAGGCAAATGATCGGAGTGGGAGTCAGAAATGTGGTCCTTGCGCGAGGGGAGCTCGATAGACTCGAGGGGCCAGGGGATACGCCGCAAGGAGGACGGAGTTGCGCCGAGAGGCGAAAGAAGCCGCGAGAACAAGGGACCGGCAGGCGGCGGCGTCGCAGGACGAGGCAGAAGAGAACGACGCGACAGAGGAGGAAGTGACAAGGGAGAGAACGACGAGAGTGGGACAGCCGCGAGGTGGCATGAAGGTTGCAGCGAGAAGCGGCGAGAGACTGCGAAAAGAGATACGAGGAGGCAGACCCCCCAGGGTGGGCGACGGCTAGCGCATCACACCCTCCTCTCCTTAAAATCCCTGTGTGGTGGCGGCGTGCCGTTCTCCCATCCCTCCCTTGGGTTGTGTGTTTTCTTTCTTTCTTTTTAGGAACGAAAGAGCAGAACAAGGCGCGGTTGGATAGAGAGGCCATGGATTCAGATTCAGGATGGGGTCAAGGCAGTCAGTCAGTCAATCAGTCTTTGAGTCAGTCAGTCGATCAGGCAGTCAGTGATGCGCAGAGAGACAGATTTCAGATGGAAGTGGAGAGCAGTGGGGGTAGCGGAGCAGCGGGGAGCAGCAGGCAGAGAGTCGAGGGCGCAGAGTCGAGGAGTGAGGTGGTGGGAAGAGAGGGATCTGCTGAGGAGGACGACGAGCTTATGATGGACTACATGGAGAACAAGGGCGTGGGCAACGAGGAGAACGACAGGTTCATGGGGTGGACGACAGTGGATTTGCGAGGTGAGACGCCAGGGCGAGGGACAGTGAGAGTCAGATCAGAGGCGAGTTCGAAAGTGGAAGGCAGAGGTATGCGTGCTGGGAGACATCAGGAGAAGCGTAATCGGTATGCTGGGGTGAGGGATCAGCGTCATGCGGAAAGAGGACCAGGTGGAGGTGGAGGATCGGGTTCAGACTGAGGGGGAAGCTAGGTCGAGTACGAGGTCGAGTTGTTGAGAGGGGTCACGGTCGAGTACGAGGACTGGGGGGGGAGGGGGTTCAACTCGGTGACGGAGGAAGGTGGGCCATCGCGGGAACGGGTCCGTCCGGAGGACGCACTGGGTAGATCCGGATGGCCTCACACCGGTGGGAGGCACCGAGGCGTCGTGGGGACGCTCTTCTGTTCAGTTGACGTTCGTCGTCCACTGAGAACTCAGTGGTCACCACTTTGTATGCTTTTAATATTAACCTTGCGAACTCGTCCCCCCCGGCAGGGCAATGCAACTGTGACAAGTGTGTGCTGTCTACGCCTGAACCAGGTGTCAAACCTGCCGATGCGTGATCTGTGTGTGGGCCGCTCTGTGAGGGGTCCAGGCAGTGTCCGACGGGTAGGGGGTCTGTGCCCGGGCGGTGTCCGGTGCGGAGTCTCTCTCTGATCCCGCCTGTGATGTTGGGTGTGAGGTGTGGCGGCTTCGATCCCAAGGGGGGGGGGGGGGGCGATCCCACTCAGTAACCAACTCTCAGGGGCAGTAGGTGGGCGAGCTTCAAGCGCGCTCATCTCGATCGTCAAGGCGTCGCTACGCGCGGTCTTCCGCGGGGGGAGCTTCGTCGACGGGTGCGTGACTGCGGCGCAGACAGTGCTGCGGCGATGCCTCCGGCTGCTGCGGCGAGTGGCTTGCTGCTCGCTGCGATGGCGAAAAACTCGTCTCGTCACACGCCAAGGGGCTTATGCTCTGTCGAGACGTGAGGCGCATGCGCCCACAGGAGGGGAGGGCGCACGCGTAACGCCGCTGCTAGAGATGCCTTTCGGGGCCCAGAGATAAAACTTCTGATGCCATGCGTGAGCTAGTAGTGTCCCCAACTATGGGCGTGTCCACGTTGGAGCCAGGTGTGGTGTGGATGCGAGAATAGCTCCGCCGTTCATGGAGGCAACCGATGCGAGTCGACTGCTGTGTGTCGTCGTGGTTTCGTATCAAGAATATACTCACTCACTCACTGCGAGACGAGCTTTCTCGGAGCGACAGCCTCAAAGAAAAAAGGGTGGATGGGTGGGGGGACGATCGCTGGTGAGCGCCAGCGCGTCCCAAGAAAAAGGTGGGGTGCCCTCGACCGCGCGTCCAAGCCACTTGGGCGGGCGAGCGAGCGGCACATGGCCTGACAAAGAGAAAGAAATCGAAGTCTGGCGACGAGATCGAATCTGACGAAAAGTTACGACAAGTGCGTCGTTTCCTCTGAGGTGCCTCAGACGTCAGAGGTGCACTTCAGAAGCAGAGCTGACGTCAGTCTGTGCGCGTCGCCAGTACCTCCTTCTCTCCTCGTCGCGAACCCACCACCGTCCCCTTTCTCCTCCTGGTATCTGTCTAGTGTGTACCTGCTGGGGGAGCAGACGGCTTCGTTACGAACCTGCCCCCAGCAGGCGTCTTGACGGGTATCAAAATTCTTCCCTACAAAAGAGGCCAACGGACCCGAGAAACACACTTTTGAAGCCTCTTCGCCCCGCCCGGGCGCCCCCGCGCCCCGGGCCCGGCCAGAGTGCAGAGAGGGACAGGGAGGGGGGCGCGCGCCCGTGAGAATCGTAAGAGTGATTAACCACAGGCCGACAGCGAGAAACACAAACAAACCCCCTCTTTGATCGGCTGTTTTACTCTCTTTGGCGGATCGGGATCGTCGTCGTCTCTTTGGTCGCCTCATCAGCTCTCCTTCATACCACCATTTCTCCCGTTACGAGGCACAGGCACAGTCCTGAGGGGCACACGCGGGCGTTGGGGCAGCGCGTGAGCTTCGAATGGGAAGGACGTGTCAGAGGCTGGAGGCGAGAGTCCGTGGCGATGCGGGCGGTGTAGAGGCGTCGCTCACCGCAGGCCACACCGCAGTCTTCCGCGCCATCCTGCGCCCGTGTGTCGGGCTGTGGCGACGGGTTCTCGGGGAGGCCGCGCCGGAGCCTCTCCGCGCGCAGCTGACGCATATACTCCTCGTCCTCCCGCACCGACGAGCTGCTGCGGCGGCGGTTTCGGCCTTCTGACACGACCATCAGGGTCACCTCGCCCTCCGCCTACAGACGGCACGAGTCGCGTCAAATGAGGGAGAGGGGCGGGCGGCGCTTTCAGCAAGGGTGGAGGGTGGGATTCTGAGCGTGGAGGCGGCGCCTCCTTGATGAGCGAGGCTGCGTGCTCGGTGCTGTGCACGGGCTCGCCGTTGACAGCGAGAAGCTGGCCGTATCCAACAGCGCGCTCTCCGAAGGACTTGTCAGGTTTGAGCGCGACAGGGCCTTTGCGGCTGCGGCTGCGGCTGTTGCTGAGCCGCACACCCAGTTCGTCTTGCTGCGTCGATTTGTAAACGCTGACAGTCCGGATGCAAGTCTCGTCGGATTTGGAGCTGCAGCCGCCTGAAGGACAGACGAGCCGCGGCGGTATATGAGTTCGGCTGAGGCGGAGGCAGGAGCAGGGACCGGCGTGGATATATGTCTTGAGTGGGATGCGAGGCACCCATATGCGGACGAGGGTCCTGTGGGTTCGTCGGGATCTCGCGAACAAGTGCTCCAAATGTGGTCCCGTGCGTCATCCAGAAGAATTTTACAAAAGATCTCCCCGCCCAACACTGAGCTGGCTGTGTGTCTTGTGAGCTTGTTTGTGTCTGTGTGTCGTTCGTGCGTGTCGTCATCATCTGTCTCGCGTCCACCCATACCGCGCTGGTGTCCAGTCCGAGCCTGGCTGTTCTTCACCTTTCTACCTACCTACCTACTGAGTACACTGGGCACGGGACTGGCTCGCACTGGCACTAACACAGGTACACCACGGGAGCCGCCTAAGCGACTCCTGCGAGAGTGGCGAGGCACTTAGCTCCGTGCACCCGCCCACCCCCGCCACAGGCAAGCTCATTCACAACCTGCTCTGCGATTGCCGTGTGAAGAACGACTGAGATACGCCCTGCTTCTACAGCCCCAGCCAATTCTTAGTGGTCCAAGTCACCTCATCGAGGTACTGGGCCCGCGTCAGCTTGTTCTGTAGAAAGAATTTTACAACAAAAGGCATCAGAAGCCGTCGTCCTCACCGTAGCCGTCCAGAAAGAAATTTCAAACCGGATATCATAAGGGGCGTGTGGAGGGCTTGCTCTATTTATTTATTATTGGAGGGCTTGTTGGCGAGCCAAAATGGTGTTTTCCGCTAGGCTCAGTCCGGTAGTCCCTGTGACGGCGAGTTCGCGCTAGCCGACTAGTTGCAAAAAGTCTGTGGTGCAAAACCCGCCCAAAACTACCAAAATCGCTGTCACGGCCAGCTCGGCACTATCTACTCAAAAAAAGTGACGTAGAGCACCCACTTTTTAAGCGTTCGCCGCATACACAAGGTCCGCCTGCGTGCGGCGCCAGCTTCTCAGGGCCGTAGCGCGAAAAACGACGGAGGAGATGCATCCTAGCTGTCGCCGCCGAAGGCGACTCGACGCCGCTGAGATCGGAGATCAAGCTCTGACAGGTCACACGTCGCTCCTTTGACGCCGACGTGACTCACCCGTGCAGAGCGCATCAGGACACGGTCTCGACGCGCTCGGTACGACGCCTGCGACCCGTCTCGGGTCAGGTGGCACGACGCTCATCGCGCCTGCCAGCGCTGCCGTGCAGGTTGCCACGACGAGGTTGAGCACGCTTCTATACGCTCGCCCAGCCTTCCTTTCCATCCCATTAGGCAGCCTGGGAACGGTGGCGGTCAGAGGCAAAGCCTGCGAGGGGTGGTGGAACCACATGGCACGGCCACCGCCGGCTCGACGCGACGATAGCCTCCGGAGGCTGACTTTGAGGCACCATCATCGGACGATGTAGACGAGTTGGGTCGCTCTCGCGGTATCCAGGTAGCCCCCCATACTAGTATCACCAGCCATGGCCTCAGGGAGCGCGGGCGAGGGCGCTGGGAGCAACACGGACAAAAAAACATCAAAAGTGGTCATTGTGACACCACCCGTATTTGCAACTAGTCAGCCGCTGCGCTAGGCTCACAGACGGCGAGCGGGAGTGCGCTGCGATAGCGAGGGAGGGCGAGACGATCGAGTGTTAAGGTGATTTTTCTCTTTTTAATTAAGGCCCCCCTCGTTGCCGTTTTTTTCTTAGCGATGCCTAAATCCTGTGGGTAAGCCCTCGTCGGCGTGTTTCGCTCAAGCTGCGCCTCGCGCGACCCTCTCGCGCACGGTCTCGGCCGGCTTCTCCGCGACCGCCGTACGCCGCAGAACCGCGAGCAGGCTGTGCAGGTGGGCGCCCCACATCGCCGGCGAGAAGCAGAAGTGGGTGCAGTCGCAGCACGTGTCGTAGTTCCACCCGTTGGGGCGGTGCGTGCAGTTTCCAAAGTGCCACCGCCTGTTAAGAGCGCACGGCGGGTGTGAGGAGACCCAGCTCGCAGGGGAGCAAGGGCAGTGCCGCGCGTGGGGGGGGGGGGCGCCAGCGCGGCAGGGTGAGGTTGTAGAAGGGGAGGAGCCTCACGTGCGGGTAGGACCCCGAGCCGAGCACCTTTGGGCGGGGGGGGGGGGGGGGGGCTGCACACAATCTCTCTGACTCGTGCGGTTGCGCTGCTTCTCGGCGCTGCTTCTCGGCGCTAACACCTCGGCTGCATCTCGGCTGCATCTCGGCTGCATCTCGGCTGCATCTCGGCTGCATCTCGGCTGCATCTCGGCTGCATCTCGGCTGCATCTCGCTCGCCTCATGCAGCACGCGGTTGCGCGTGTTGACGTTGAAGTCCTCCGTCCGCTGGCACGAGCAGAGCTTGTCGCTGCTCTTGTCGCGCTGCTCCCACTCGCCGGTGGCATAGCCGCGCCGGTCTGACGATTTGAAGTGCTGCGCGCCCGTCTCCTGGAAGAGCGCCGCCCGGCCCGGCTCCGCCGCGAAGGCCTCGAGGCGTGCCATCGAGTGGTGCAGGTCCGTGCGGTAGCCGTCCATCTCCTGGTGGGTAAGGTGAGCACACGAGGTGGTGGGGCAGGGGCCAGGCGACCCTCGCGTCTCCACGTCTAGACGACAGGAGCCCCGCGGCACTAAAGGTGCAAGGCCCGGTGCGCGCGCGCGTGGGTGGGCGGGGTGCGCGTGCGTGCGTGCGTGCGTGCGTGCGTGCGTGCGTGTGTGTGTGTGTGTGTCCACCTGGTAGTGAAGTCCCCAGTTGAGGAGCACAACGTCGGCCGAGCCAATTGCCGCCTCGACCTCGTCCGGCTGCATCGTCGTCACGCGCGCATACATCATCCGCATCCCGCTGGCCACCTGTTCACAGCTAGAGGTGTGAAGAGACGCTCGCTGTTCACACCAGCTTACGTCATCCGCATCCCGCTGGCCACCTCGACGGGCAGCTTGGGCGGCTTCTTCCGCTTGCCTCTGTTCCAGAGGGGCTTGGTCGCGAGCAGGAAGGACTCGTGCGAGGCCGAGTGGGGCACCTTGAGGGGAGATATGGGGAGATATGGGGAGATATGGGGAGGAAGGACTCGTGCGAGGCCGAGTGGGGCGCCTCGATGTTAATTAACATTTAATTAACAGTTAATTAATAACTAATTGGGTCGAGTGGGGCACCATGAGTGAGGAGGGGGAGCGGACGGCCTCCGGTGTGGCACACCTCCCCATATCTCCCCATATCTCCCCATATCTCGCACCTTGAGCGAGGGGGGGGGGGAAGCGGACTCCGGTGTGGCACAGTGGCGGTCGCTTGGAGCAGGCGCACTCAATCATCGCTTCCAGGGAGGGGGGGCGTATCTCCCCCTATCTCCCCGTATCTCCCCGTATCTCCCCGTATCTCGCACCTTGAGCGACTCTTTCGCCGCGAGGCACTGCACCTCTCCCCCTATCTCCCCGTATCTCCCCGTATCTCCCCGTATCTCCCCGTATCTCCCCCTATCTCGCACCTTGAGCGACTCTTTCGCCGCGAGGCACTGCACCTCTCCCCGTATCTCCCCGTATCTCCCCATATCTCCCCCTATCTCGCACCTTGAGCGACTCTTTCGCCGCGAGGCACTGCACCTCTCCCCGTATCTCCCCGTATCTCCCCATATCTCCCCCTATCTCGCACCTTGAGCGACTCTTTCGCCGCGAGGCACTGCAGCGTGTTGTAAAACTGCTCCATCACCGAGTCGCCCATCACGAGCAGCGTCTTGCCTAGGGTTGTCACAGTCTTCTTCTGGTCAAACCTGCTCCATACCGAGTCTCGCACCACGAGCAGCGCTCTTGCCGCCCAGCAGCGCAGCCAGCTCGCCCAGGCCCGCCTGCGGCAGGCCAGGAGTTTTCCTCAGAGAGAGGCGCAGCAGGAAGGCGTCACAATTTATGGTGCTCGTTTGCTGCGCGGCTGTTGCTCCCGGCTCGTGCCCTCCCTGTCATCTCGGGTCATCTCGGGTCATCTCGGGTCATCTCGGGTCATCTCTCGGGCCATCTCGTCTCGACTCCGCGGCCCGTCTCGCGTGCACGTCCAGCTCTCATCACCCCTCCCCATCTCTCTCCCCATCTCTCCCCATCTCTCCCCATCTCGCTCTCCCATATCTCTCCATCTCTCCCCATCTCTCCCCATGGCATCTCTCTCCCCATTTCTCTCCCCATCTCTCCCGCCTGCGGCAGCCCGTTCGCGTGCACGTCCGCCTCGCGCAGCCGCGCCTCAGAAGGCCACCCGCCCGCCCTCTTGGCGCGGGGAGAGCAGTACTTGGGCATGATGTACTCGAGCTCACCGGCGACACAGTCACCTCGCACGCCGCCGCCCCTCCAGTCAATTCGCGGCTGGAAGGTGAGGTCCACCCACGACGGCTCGCTCACTCCAAGCCGCGCCGCGCACTCGAGCGACTCGCATGTGCCGACGGCGGGACGGTTAGCTGGAAGGCTGGCCCTCAGCCGCGCGTCCTCCGCTCGCGGCCCCTCCGAAGTCCGGTCGTGAACGCCCAAAGCGGCCGGCCGGCGCCCGTCATCGCTGCGCGTCCACCGCACGTCGGCGACGCGTGCGGGCTGCACGTCGAGGCTGGAGAGCAGAAGGACGGCGCCAAAGAGCACGAGCACAAATGCCGAGTTGAACTGGTTTGATGAACAGTAGGCCATCCAGCCTTTTGCTTCACGCCGACGCCGTGTAAATAAAAAAACGGGCGAGGAACCGCACGCCTAATTTGTCTGTATGTGCGTGTGGGGTGTGTGGTTGTGCGGGGCGGCGAAGGGCGGGCGCGCGCAACAGAGGCTCAACGTCCGGCGGCTCTCTCGAGGTTGGAGAAAGGGGACGGGCGGTCGGCGAGCGGGGGGGGAGAAGCAGCACCAGTGGCGTATGGTGTGGGCACTGGGGTGGGCAGTGTGGGCATCATCGCGCACAACACAAGACATACAGTTCTGACCCTCAACAGCTCCTATATAGGGGGAGCTATGCAGCTGACTGCATCCAGTGGCCGGGGTGGACGGTTTTGGAGGAGCAAGAGAGAGAAAGTCGCGATTGGTACCCCCGCTCGGTCTGAGCGCAAAGGCGCAGCGGATGGCGCAGGGTATAGTTGGGCCGCTACGCCGTAGGGAGTCGGCGGGAGAGAGGTCCTCACAAACACAGAGGTCCTCATCAGACAGTAGCACTGAAAGCAGCAGCCTTTGTCTTGACCACTGCCGCCATCGCAGACATGCAAGCGGCCTTGATCTCCTCCGAGATTGCGGGCCCGCGGTGGCCGCCCCACGTGTCGCCCTTCTCCACCTGCCGTTTGAGAATCATTGCGACATCCTGCGACAATATTCCCTTCGGCTTGTTCGGCGTGCCGGGATTCCAACTTTTTGCGGGGTAAGGTATGGTAGGGTCGGCGCCAAAAGGGTGGGGGGGTATGGTCCTGGCCGCCGGAGGCGGCCTGCTCGACGGGTGGGGGGGTATGGTCAATCGCTGGAGCGGCCACGTTACAACAGGGTTCGAACCCAGTACACAGCCGCCGTACACAGCCGCGGACACGATGCCGACTCAAGGCGGCCCCGGCCGCTTCGATACTGTCGCGGGCCTTCTCGCCGCGACGCCGCCTCAACTTCAGCTCCTGGACAGCTGCCGACGACGCCGAGCGCGCCACTGTGCGCAGCTGCTGCGCTGGTACGCTTGCGTCGTGCGTCGCACAGCTCGACGCTGCGATTGCACCGCATGCCGTCCGCATGATGGACGGGAGGCTTCCGACAAGCGACGCTTTCCGTGGCGACGACCACGATCTCAGCAAGCTGAAGGCGCTCAAAACTGTCGCCACGATGGTCCTTTCAAGTTGCTCGACGAGAAGCGCGAGCTCATTGACGAGCCCGAGGACGGCTGCCCGAAGGGCGTCATCTCGGACGCGGACACGGACCACAACGTCTTCAACGAGTGGGGCATGTACTACAAGAGCCCCCCCAACTCGGGCCAGCCGCGCAACCCCTTCGAGATGGCGCGCGCGCGCGCGCCCACGGTGGCCGCGCCGCCGCCGCCGGCGGCGGAGGCGACGGCGGCGGAGGCGGTGGAGGTGGAGGCGGAGGCGGCGGAGACGCCGGAGGTGACCATGGCGGAGGCGGAGGTGGCGCCAGCGGAGGCGGCGGAGGCGGAGGCCGTTCCAGCGGAGGTGACCATGGCGGAGGCGGCGCCGGCGGAGACCGCGCCCGCGCCCGCGCCCGAGGTGACCATGGCGGAGGCGGCGCCGGCGGAGACCGCGCCCGCGCCCGCGCCCGCGCTCGCACCGGCCGCGCCCGCGCCTGCGCCCGCGCCTGCGCCGGCACGCAAGGCCCTGGCGGCCTTTGCGGACATGCTCTGAGGGGTGAGCACGATTGCCGGCGGGTCACCTCGCGCAGACTGCATCGCGCGAACACGTGCCGCACGACCGGACGGCCTAACACGACGGTTACTGTACGCGCTCGTGTGGTGGGGTGGGGGGTGGGGGGGTATGGTCCTGCTGGCCAGAGGTATGGTCCTGTGCGGGTGGGGGGGTATGGTCGCGGCGCCAGGGCGCCGACCTTACCATACCTTACCCCGCAAAAAGTCCGAACCCGGGGCCAAAGTACTCCGCGTGGGAGGTGCAGAGATTCCGGGCAATCACACCGTCCCGGACCAAGTCGATCCTCTTCTTCTTCTCCGCTGCCGAGACGCCGGTGCGCGTAACGCGCGCGGCCTCCGCGTGAACGAGAGCCCGCTCGTGCTCCGTCCACAGACGGCTCTTGCCACTCTTTGAGACCACGCAGCCCAGAGGCGGCTTGATCACGTTGTGGCCAGTGACTGAATGTTTGTAGGTCTGGCTGGCACTGCCACTCGCACCGCCCGCATCGCTGGACGAGTCACTGTCCGCCTCCGTCGCGTCCTCGTCCTCCTCTCCGCGTGCCTGCGCTGCCGCCGCTGCCAGCGCGTCCAGCATGCTGCCTCCGTGGCGAGCGGCAGAAGCCACCAACCCGGGCTGGCCAACCGCGGAACGCTCGGCCGAGAGGCGACGCTTCTGCTTGGCGGCTTCTTTCGCCTCCTCTGCTCGCCGCTTCAGCGCCACCGTCTCCTCGTCCACCTTTTGCTGGTGCTCTTCCTTTGACACGGTGTTCAGCAGCGTGCGAGCGCCCGGCGCCGATGGCTTTGCGAAGAGGAGCGACTGTACAAAGCCCGCCCGCATCGTCGGCCCGCCCGTAGCGGATCCTTGCTGGGCGTGGCTGGTGTCCCGATGCGCCGAGGACTTGCCGGAGGCGGACAGCCGCTTCGGGGCCATCGCACCCGCTGGTACAACTGTACAACTGTAAGCGAGCCCACCTGCCGTAGCCCAAGAATTCGCGAAAGCGCGCGGAAGCCCAACGCTGCGGTGCGATCGCGCAACGAGGCGCAAGAGGCCCCATAGAGGCCAGGATGGTGCTTAAAATCTGGATTACACCCCGGAGAAGGCCCCAAAATCCGCTTCGCGCCGCTCCGCGGCGCTCAAAATCTGGAGCACGCCAGGCTCCAGAGCAAGCTAAAATCTTAAATTCGGCGGACTTGTACTGTTTTTATAGCGCGGCCGTGAAAAACGAGTGGGCGGGCAAGTCCGGAAAAAAATCCTACACGGAGTGTAAAGTGAGGAAGAATTCTCAAGTGAGGAAGAAGAAAAACCGCCGCGAAGTTTGCTGGCGCGCTTGCGTCACTCCCGAGCCCTCCTTCCCGAGTACGACGCTGCGGCGGCTTTGCTCGGGCGGCGGGCGGGTGCCGCTGATCAAGGTCGACGGGACCGTCGCCGAGGACGTGGCGACGCGCCTCGACGTCAAGGGGTACCCGACCCTCTTTTTCGTGCGGGACGGCGTCGCGGACGAGTTTGAGGTGCGCCGCCACACCGTGGCCCAGACGCGACGCCGTGCCGCTGACCAAGCGTTAACCGCGAGGGCGCCGCCGAGCGCCTTGGCGCCCTCGGGGCCACTCCTGTTGTCGCTGAGGTTGAGCGACTTTAGCACCTGCCCCCCCCGCAAGGCGCGCGATTCATACACACCTCATTGACCTTGAGCGCCTCGCCGATCGCCTTGGCGCCCTCAGCGAAGATGAGATTCATGCCGATGTCGAGGGTGGTCACCGCCTCGCTGCCCGACATGTACTCGGCGATCTCTGCAGCGCCAGTCGTGCCAATGCTGCAGCAAGCCAAGCCCAGCGAGGTCAGCATGTTGCGCTGCCGCTCGACACGGACGATGCCGAGGGCTGCCTCCTCCGCTCCTCGGCGATCGCAGCGGCGCCCTCGTCGCGGATCTTGTTGTGGCAGAGGTTGAGGTTGGTGGAAGAATTCTAGAAACACAAGCCCCTCTCACAGCAGACTGGCACGAACTAGCACCGGTGGAAGAACTCCCTCGCGACGGGACTGGCGCGAAAGAAGCGTGGTAGCCCTACCCGGTACACCACGCCCTCTACGCTGGGGAGCCGGCGCCCTACTGGGCCAAATGTCCTTTCGCCACCGGGCCGAGGGCAGCGGGCTGCATCCAGACCGTTCGCTCTGCCCCTACTGTGGCGCGAAAAAGCGTGGACACGTCTGCCGCTGGGCGTGGCCGAGCAGCCGAGACAGACAGCAGCAGAGCCGTAATCAGTGCGGCAGCGCCTGCAGCTGCCCAGGCACACAGCGGTGGCAGCGTCCGCATCGCATCAACCTCTCCGAGCTTACGCCTGCTGTGCCCGAGGCTGCCGAAACCACGCGCACAACCTCTCTCCGAGGGTTGGCCACGCGCGCGCACCAGGTTTCCCCTTAGCAGCCGACGCCCCCTCTATCTACTCGGAGCAGTGATACGGGAATACGTACCGCCACGCAATACCTACACTACTCGACGATGATACAAGAATACGCAGCTGCGAGACACCTATAAAGAATTTAAACAAAACAACCTATAAAGAAACAGCGAGGGAAAGTTCGGCGGCTATGATAAACCGAAACTTGTCGTAACACGCGGGCGAAAGCAAAACTGCTAGCAGACCGCAGGCGCTTTTTGCCGCAGCATTGCCCGCAGCCTGTTGAGCGCGGCGGCATTTCTTCTTCTCGCGATGTCTGCCCCGCCGCGCCGCCGCTCGAGCCGCCTCGCCACCGCCGCCACCGCCGCCACCGCCGCCACCGCCGCCACCGCCGCGCCCTCGCCAAGCACGCCGCCGCCCGCCCGCCTCCTCGACCTCCCCACGCTGTCAAGCATCCAGACTTGGTATGAGCTTGCAGACCGATGTCGTGCACCATGGGCATGCAATACTTCCGCTCCATCCCGCTATGCGTCATACTTATCCAACCTGTCAACGGTACCACTTGATCTCAATAGGCTTTTCATACCAGACAATTCCTCTGTGCTGATCTTTGGTCCAAGCTTCGTGAATCAGATCATGCAAAATTGGCATTGCGCGTCGGAGTCTAGCTGTGAACACCTCGAGCAGTCTAAGTCGACTTCTCGCTCTGGAGGAGTCTTGGGGTGCCGAGATCGGCGTGGTGTACAAAGCTTCAGCATAATCAACCAAGCTCATCTGCAACATTCACTCGCTCTGCCAAATCTGACAGAATTATTGCATCAAATACTCACAGAAATCGACGAGCCCCTTTTTGACTTTGCCATATTTATGCCTGCACATCATGATGGATGGCTTGAGGGAGGTAGGTGGGTGGATTTGACAGCGCCCAGTCCAAGCAGTACAGGGCGAGACAATGCCACATATCAAATTTTGAGAAGGTATTCGCGCGCTGTGATACAATTACAATCGTGGACGTGGTACTATGGCCATCAGGCACCATCATACGGCAGCTCGACGATCGACCTTGCACCATTTGTCCAGCAGTATCCTTGCAATGGCAACATAAAAGACCAACAACGCCAATGCGAACCGAAGGGAGACGATCACCAGTGTGTAGTGTCCGGCTTGACTCTTGCAGCCCGCACGGTTGCAGCTCGCATGAGGTCATTCCAGCGTCTGCGGTAGAGACGCTGGCTGATGGGCCTGTGCCTGTGGCTGTGCCTGTGCCCGAGCCTGAGCCTGCGCCTCTTTGGGATACCGCCCACCCTAATTGGGACACCAGCAGCTCGGCTGGGCTCATTAGAGAGTCTGCAAAGGAAGTTGGGCAACTTGAAGTTCAGGCACGAGGTATGTTGCGTTGCGGGATCGGTCAGGGATCGGTGCGAGGCTTGTGCCTTGTGGTATCCATACGATCGTGCTTATCACGTGTTACTGATAAGGGACTAAAAAACGAACATTATAATTGATGTGACCCGGTTGCGGACTTGCGGTCCACCTGGGCCCGGGGGTTGTGCGAGGTCTGGGCTAGAAATGCTCCCACATACACACACTTAAAAATGCCGCCCCAAGGGGCCCGGGGATTTACGCGACGATCGGCCGCGACGTGAGCCACATACACCTGCGGGGAGTGCGGGGGGCATGAGCCCCACCAAACCAGTACAAACCAGCCCAACGCGACGGACAAACCGGAGAGCTACGACTTCACCCCGCCGCATAAGGCGCGCGGAGGGGAGCGCTCCGTCGAAGACCAGGAGATGCTGGTGTCGCAGGACGCCTACAGGACGCCCACCACACACACCGCGGAGGGCGGCAGAGAGCGGCGTCCGGTCGCGGGCGTGCCAAACAAACAAATAGGAACCTTAGACGAAAGTCATGCCTGGGCGCTGGGGGGAAACCCACCTGAACCAAACGCCCGGAAACGCCCTTCCAGGGCCGCAAGCGCCCCCCCAAGGGTCGCGCCGCCAGTAACACTCACGCCGCATCACGCACAGTTCTAACAGTTAGCTATTACGTACAGCTACAGGGAGCGCTCTGCCACCGCAAACGCGCGCCACTTACACTTCTCAGTGTTGTGACCTCGCACCTCGGTGGGCCCCCACCGCCCTCGCCCCTCGGGCCTTACTGCAGGCTCTTGCGGTCCCTCCAGTGCGGGTGGGTCAGCCCTCCCGCCCAGGAGGAGGGGCGGTAGAAGGAGAAGCGCACCTCGCCCTCGCCGCCCCTCCCCCGCCGAGCGAGCGCCCGCACGCGCGGAGTGGCGGCGGCGAGGGCGGCGAGGGCGGCGGCGAGAGCGGCGGTGAGGGCGACGAGGGCGACGAGTGCCGGCGTGAGCGAGAGGCGCCGCGAGGAGAGGAGGCGGAAGGCGCCGGTCGGGGCGAACGGGAGCAGCGCGAGCGCGAGCGCGTCGGACGGCGCCCAAAAGGTTGGCTCGAAGGCGCCGTCGTCGGGGCCCGCCTGTGCACAGCTGCCGCTGTGAAGCGACGCCGTTCACACCCCGCCACAGCCTCCGTCGGGCCCCGCCCAGAGGAAGGGGTAGTGCGATCTGCCGTCGGCGGCGCGCGCGCGCAGGTAGACGGTGACGTGGCTGGGGTAGTAGAGCCTACGTGCTGAAGACGCCAACCTCAGGGCGGGAAGACGGTACTGTGTGCAGCGTATTCAGAGCACCGTATGAATACAACGGAGGCGAATACAGGGCACACAGCGGAATACGGCCGAGTACAGCGGAGTGCGTGCCCTCTCGAGCGCCGGTTGGGAGACAAGACTGCGTGTTCCGCTTCTAGGTAGCCGAACCCCCCCCGCTCAAACCCGTCCCGCCCCCCCTTGCGCAAAAAGTCCGCCTCCGCCGCCTTGGCCTCGTGGAGCAGCGACGGCGGCGCCCACGCCGCCATGCCCCTCCACCTGTTCACGGCTGCCGCTGTGACGAGACGCCGTTCAACCCCGGCGGCGCCCACGCCGCCATGCCCCTCCACCTGTTCACAGCTGCCGCTGTGAAGAGACGCCGTTCACACCCCGGCGGCACCCACGCCGCCATGCCCCTCCACCCGCTCGTGTTGCCTGGCCCGAAGAGAGCGAGCAGCGTGACCGCGTCCCCGCGCTCAAAGGACCACGCGTCGCAAGCGAGCTCGCCCACGCGCGGCATGGCAGACGAGCGCGGCCGCTGGCGGCACGGCTGGAAGCGCCGCTCCGCCGCCGCAGCGAGTCGCGCGTTGGAGGTGGCCGCGGCGGCGGTGGGCGGCAGCGTGCAGTCGCGGCCGCCGATTCCGAGCCACGAGCAAAACGGGGGTAGCGCGGGGAGGGCGAGCTGCGACGGGGTGCCTTCGCTTCGCATACGCCAGCCTCGGGGCGGCTGTGCGCGGTGTACTCAAGGGCACCGCGTGGATACGAGGGAGGCGAATGCAGGGAAGACCGCGGGCCACGGCCGAGTGCAGCTGAGTCCGTGTCCTCTCGGGCGCTGGCTGGGAGACAAGAGTGCGTACTCCGCTTCTAGGCGCGAGATATGGGGAGATATGGGGAGATATGGGGAGATATGGGGAGATATGGGGAGATATGGGGAGATATGGGGAGATATGGGGAGATATGGGGAGGTACTCCGCTTCTAGGACGGCGAGCCGTTGAGAAGGAAGACACGCTGAAGAAAGGCCGGGTGCGTGTGCAGCATCGACGGCGCCTACGAACTCAGAAGAAGAAGACGAAGAACTAGAACGAGCTACAATGAAGGCCGGGGTGCGTGTGCAGCATGGGCGGCGCCTACGAAATCAAGAAGAAGAAGAAGAACTATAATGAGCTATAATGAAGGCCGGGGGGGGAGGGGGGCGTGTGCAGCATCGGCGGCGCCTCGCGCTCCCTGCCGGGGGGCAGCAGCGAGCCCGAAAACGGGAGGCGGAAGGTGTAGTAGTAGAAGGAGTCCTCGGTGGCGGGCACCTGTAGTAGACGCCATATCTCCCCATATCTCACCATATCTCGCACCTGCAGTAGACACGCGCAACTCCGCTGCCATTTAGTGTCACCGGTCCGGGCGGTGTGTCGGTCGAAGCCCCTCTGGTGATATGGGGAGATATGGGGAGATCCGGGCGGGTGTCGGTCGAAGTCCGCCGGTGATATGGGGAGATATGGGAAGATCCGGGGAGATATGGGGAGATATGGGGAGGTCCGGGAGGGTGTCGGTGCCCGCCGGCCGGCTTGCCACGCCGTGCTAGCCCCGCGGCGAGGAGTTGTGCTGCCGTCCCTCGCCCCTGAGTATGTGTGCTGCGGGTGGGACGTGCGTGTCGGCATGCGGGCACCTGCAGCGTGGTGAACTTGGAGAGCAGCCCGGGGTGGAAGACCGACACGACGGAGTGCGCGTCCTATGGGGAGATAAGGGGGAGATACGGGAGATGTGGGGAGATGTTCCGTGTCTAGGAGACGAGGACGTCGAGCGGCTGCGAGATATGGGGAGATATGGGGGAGATATGGGAGATGTGGGGAGATATTCGCGCCTCGCAGCGGCCGGCGGACGTGCGTAGCGACAGCTGGACGTACCACCGCATTGGCGCCGACCCGCGCGGCCGGGCGTCATTGACCATGGCGCGCGCGTTCAGAGGCTCCTCCACGGTGAGGCGCATCGAGAAGACGCGCTGCAGCTGCTCGAAGTCGGCCGCACCAGCAAACATCGCCGCCCCTCCAGGGCAGCGCCGGCCGAGCAGGAGGCAGGCGCGCGTGTCGGTGGTGTGGTGCCGGCTGCCGCTGCTCTCGAGGTTGAGAAAGGCATGGTGGATGTGCAGCGGCGGCTGGCCGATCGGGCGCCCGGCCTCGTCCACCTGGCAGCCCAGTTGGAGCCCACAGTCCACGCACGGGGGAAGAGTTCAAGGCTGCTCGTTGTGTCTGTGTGCCGCTCCCGTGTGACAGTTCCCTCCGCCTCTCTTGCACCCCACCCGTACCGCAGTGTGGCTGGTCAGAGTGTGTCTCCGCCTCTCTAAGTAGTATGCCCTGCCCTGCCCTGCCCTGCCCTGCCGTACTACACTGCCCGCACACTGCCGCACAACTGGCCTTTTAGATCCCCTACCTGCCCCGGGTGTGAAACCCACACTGCCCACCCCCGCCCATCCCACACTGCCCGCTGTGAATAACTGCCCGCTCGCGAGGTCTCGGAGGAGCTTAGGGTATATCAAGGGAGCACCAGGGTGATGAGCGCGCCCCATATCTCCCAATATCTCCCCATATCTCCCCATATCTCGCACCAGGGTGATGAGCGCGCCCGTGGCGCAGACGGCGCCGTGTGCTGCGATCGGCTCACTGAGCCCCTGCGCGACGGCGAGATGGCCCGAGATCACCCGAGATGGCACGAGATCGCCCGAGATGGCACGAGGGATATGCCGAGATCACCGCAAAGTCGTCCCACCCCAGGAACCAAAAGTCGAACCCTCCGGTCGACTCCATCGGCCCGACACGGACTGTGTGCCACTCGCCGCCGCCGCCGCCGGTGTCGCTCTCCCCGCCCGCACTGCCGATGGCGAGCGAAGCGTCTGGCCCGGGCCCTGACGGACGCCCGTCTACTCCGTGCACTCCAAACGCAAAGCTGTCGTCGGCCTGCTCCGGATCGGGCGCGGCAGCGCTCGTGCACACGCCGGCTAGCAGCTCGCCGCGAGGAAGCACGCTCGCGCGCCGTGCGAGCGCCTCCGCGTCAGACCGTGGCGCCGGCGTGCTGCCCCGAAAGAGGTGGCGGTTCTCGGGCACTAGGTCGATCTCGGAGCCGTCCGGGATGAAGCCGGACGTTGTGTTCACCGTGTAGCGACCCTCTGCGCCGCGGAGCGAGGCAAAAGGCTGCCACTGCAGGCTGCACGCCGTCTCCTCGAGAGCGGCTCGCAACAGGGAGGCGTGCATGTGTGTGTGTACTCACACTCACACTCACACGGCGTGTATGCAGTCACACAAGACAGCGAGGGAGAGAGTGTCTTTTGTGAGAGAGAGTTCTCTTGTTTAAATTCTTTTGCGTGAAATCCGGCATTTTTTTCACGCCTGCTCTGCTGAGGGGAGGGGCGGGGCTCATAGCGGCGAGTCGAAAGGGGCGCGCCCGGTCCTCGACGGAGCCGCGCGCCCCAAACGACCCAGGCGGCGAGTAGTTAGTCGTTCGTCGTTGAACCTCCGGCATGTAGTTGCCCGTGGTTAGCGCCCGCTCCCCTCCGTCGGAAAAAAAATCTTCCTTCGGGGACACACGATTCCAGAAATGGTTGTGTCCCCGCTCCTCGCTCGCCCGGGCGGAGGGTATGGCCGCGGAGGAGGCGAGTACGTGCCGCCAGGCCTTCCGCAGACAGCCTCTTGGGCAGACTGAGGGTCGGCTTTGCGTGGCGTGGCCCGTACGCTGCGCTGCGCAAAGCTGCGTATGCGGAGGGAGCATCCTGTGCTTCCACCGGGAAGTGCGCACCTCCTGCAGCTGGTGGAAGGCCGTGCCGCCGCTCGCCTGCTCCGTGGACAGGGCGGGGAGGCGGCGTCGCAGCGCCGCAGCATCCGCTGCACGCCGGTGCAGCACTCTGCTGCCTGGTGGGCAGCATGCTGGTGCTGTGCGCGACGTTTTCGAGGCTGCAGTGGCGCTGCACCGCAAGCCACGGCGAGTGGCCCGCAGCATGCGCGGCGCCGCGCTTGGCCCGGACAGCGCCAGAGAGTGCCCTCGATGGGCCAGCCTGCGCGGCGCGAGCGCCGCACAAGCTGACGCATCGTCTGCCATTCTCTGGTCGACGGCGGTCAATCTCACGATTGTCGATCAAAACCGGCGGGCTTTGTGACGCCGTTTACGCAATCGTTTTTTTGGCCTCGCTTTCTCTTTTGCTTGGTTTTATTTTGTTTTTTCGTTTGCGAAGCGACAGAGGGGGGGGCGGGCGGGCGCTAACTATGGGCAACTACATGTCGAAGGTTCGAGGTCGACTACTCGCCGCCTGGGTCGTTTGGGGCGCGCGGCTCCGTCGAGGACCGGGCGCGCCCCTTTCCCGGCGCGGCGTAGGTCCCACTCTGACGTATAGAGGGGAGGCACGGACAACGGCCCAATTCATCAATTCCACTCATCTTCTGGTGCCTAGCCCCGTGCAGCGGCGGTCCGGCAGGCTGCCCCCAAGGCCCCCTGGGCCGCTGCGGGTTTTGGAGTTATGCTTTGGCACAGCTTCGGCGATGGCGGCCCCTCTCTGGGGCTTGCATAGGCGGGGAGTCTCCCTCGCTGGTCTCCTCATTCCCTTTTTTCTTTTTCTTTTGAGCTGGGTGTGCCGCCGCGCGGCGCTCGCGCGGCGGCGGTGGTTGTTGTGTGTGTGTGGTGGTGGTGGTGGTGGTGGGGGGGGGGGGGGGCTCGGGGGCGCGCGGGGCAGAGGCTCGACGATCATCGGCTCGCCGGGGGGGGAACGAGGAGGGGGGATGGGCGGTCGGCGTCGGGGTAGAAGCAACAGGGCGTACGGGGTAGCCGTCACTTTCCTGCCTCACAAGGGCGGGGCTGTCCCGGAAAGTGAGAAACGCCGGGCAGCGTGGCGCATTACTGAGCCCTCCCATACGTGCTTGTGCTCCTCCTTCGCTGTCCCATCTCCTCATCTCTTTCCCACCTAGGCGGGGCGGGGGTCGGGGGGGCGGCGGGCGCGGGTGCGAGGTGCGGTGCGGTGCGTGCAATCGTGTGTTTGGCGTCATGTCGTGTGTGCCTTCGCTTGTTCCAAGTAACAACGAAGTCTAGCTCAAAAAAAGAAAAAGAAAACCAGAAGAAAAAGAAAAAGCGCAGCACAAGCCGGTCGCGTAAACGGCGTCGAAAAGCCCGCCGGTTTTGATCGACAATCGCGAGATTGCCAGAGAGCGGCATGTCTCTTGGGAAGGGTCCCGTACTGTGTCTCGGATGGATGTGGTGTGTGTGTCTGTGTGTGCGGCCTGTCAATGCGAGCCACACGCGGCATGCGAGGAACGTGACGCGCGGTGCCTCTTCCAGTAGCCGTCGCCCGCTCTTTGCGCCGTTCATGGACGACCCGATGCCGCCACCGGCGCCACCCCCGCTGCCACCGCCGTCGCCTTGTGACCAGGGCTTTGTTCCAACGTGCGAGCACGCGAAAGGCTTCGGACTCTGCCGTGTTGGGAAGGAGCCGTGCCCAGAAAGTTGCGTCGCAGAGGTCCGCCCACCCTCAGCTGAATGCACAAGGGGCGGGAATAGAGTATAGACTTGCTGAGTTGTTACTCGCCCCTCTCAGGTGCTTCGCGTTTGCCCGGAAACGTGCGCGTTGCCCCGCAACGTCACCGAGGGGCACGGCCTCTGGAACGAAAGCAGCGAGTTCATCCCTGCCGATTACGACACGCCCGCGCCCGAGGCTGCCAAGGCTGCAATCTGTGCCGCATGCAGCGACCGCCCCGGACTCAAGTGCTGCCACAACCATCCGCACGACGACCGCCGCCGTCTGGAGACCGCCTCGAGTGGGAGTTGCGGCGCCTACATGCCCTACGCAGCCGGTACGCCGCTGGTCCGAGCCCTGGCCGCCCACGTCGGCTCCGTGTCCGCTCTGACTGGAGGATCGACGATGAGCGACAGCGACGGCTACGTCCCTTCCTTCTCCTATGGCTTCTACACGTCGGAGATGGGCAAGTACATCGACATCCTCACAAAGCTCCTAACGGATCTCAGCTCCATGGTGGGCACGCAGCGCGGGGCGCCTGCGGCGTCCATTTTTTGAAATGTCTGCCAGGCTCACCTAAGCGGCTCTCAGAAACACTCGTTCAACATCTCGAGATCACTTCGTGACCACGTCGAGAAATAGATCTACACTCGCCTCTCGCGCGAGAGAGATCCTCGAGGCGAGATCACGCACACAGGTAAATCACGGCTATGTCGCTCAGAGGTAGAGGTAAAGGGCGCCCACGGCTGACCAGAGGTAAAGGTAAGAGGGCCGCAGGCCCTCAGAGGTAGAGGTAACCTAGCCCCCTCCTACCCGGCCCTCCCCCCGGGCCGAATGAAAACAAACGCAAGGCGGACACACGCACATCGCTCACGGGCCCACAGACACCCGCACACACCCGCCGCCCCCGCGCGCGCCCCACCCCCCAGCCGGGAGAAAGGGGACTGACAATTCTTTTTTACTGAAAAAATCTGTCATGAACAATCATAAATCACAAAGTGCGCACGCGAGGCGTTGGCTCACTGGTCCTCAAGACTCGACGAGAGAGAGAGAGAGAGAGAGAGCGGCTTGCTGCTCGCTGCGATGGCGAAAAAACTCGTCTCGCCACACGCCAAGGGCTTATGCTCTGGCGAGACGTGAGGCGCATGCGCCCAGGAGGGGAGGGGGCATGTGTAACGACACTGCTAGAGATGCCTTTCGGGGCCCAGAGATAAAACTTCTGTGATGCCATGCGTGACCTAGTAGTGTCCCCAGCTATGGGCGTGTCCACGTTGGAGCCAGGTGTGGTGTGGGCGCGAGAATAGCTCCGCCGTTCATGGAGGCAACCGATGCGAGTCGACTGGTGTGTGTCGTCGTGGTTTCGTATCAAGAATTCTCTCTCTCTCAAGACTCGACGAGAAGCAGAAGCGAACGTCGATGTTTTTGCTGCCGCGGCCGTTTGTTTTGGCGCCGATGCAGCGCCGTCTCTCGCCGCGCGAGATGGCGCCGCCGCGGCGTCGGCGCCGCGATCAACCGCGGTTCACAGATTTTTCTTAAAATACACAAAAAGAAACGCGCTGCGCCTCGCTGCAGCCAGCCCGAGCTCGCCCTCGCCATGATCGCCCTGGCGTCTAGCCTGATCGCGGTCGCGCTCCTCCATAGCAACACCGCCGCCTTCCGGCCGCTTGCAGCTTCGCGGAGCTCGAGCCGAGCCGAGGCGCGGTTGGCGCAGACGAAGAAGGCCACAAAAAGTAGAAAGAAGGCAGGCGCCGGCCGCGCTGGGCTCGCCTCGCCTCCCTCCCCACCAAACACAGCGAGGCTGATGCTGTCCTCCCTCCTGACTCAGGCGGCGGCGGTTTCGGCGCCTCCAAGCCCGCGCCCAGGCCGTCTGCACCGCCGCCGCTCGCGACGGTGAGCGAGAGCTTCCGGATCTCGGAGCACGCGCTTCCCTCGGGCGAGGGAGTCAACACGATGTTTATGGGCGCCTACCTGATCGAGGACGAGAGCGTGTGCGACGGCCTCGTCGCACTCTTCGAGAAGGACCCGGGTGCGCTGGCGCCCGGCGTCGTGGGCAGAGACGGGCGCGCGGTCATTGACCCGACCTCCAAAGAGTCGCTGGAGTACTCCTTCCAGCCAGACGACGCTCGGATCGAGTGGCGGAGGTACGTGACGGCGCTCCAGGCGTGCACGATGAAGTACACGGCGAGGTACCCGTACGCGGCCAACCACGTCTCGCCCTGGGGCCTCTCGTGCACGACCAACTACCAGTACTACCCGCCCGGGGGCGGGTATAAGATCTACCACACGGAGAGGAACGGCCGGATGGAGCCGGGTGCGTCGCGGCGCCTGGTCTCTCCATGCCGTCGGCCTGTGGGCGGTGTCTCTTCACACCTCCGGCTGTGAACAGGTGCGTCGCGGCGCCTGGTCTCTTCATGCCGTCGGCCTGTGGGCGGCGTCTCTTCACACCTCCGGCTGTGAACAGGTGCGTCGCGGCACCTGGTGTTCATGACGTACCTGAACGACGTGAGCGACGAGGGGGGCACGCAGTGGTGCCCGCCGGCCCGACACGTCCACTCACACGTCCATGACGCGTCCGAGACGTGTCTGCCGCAGGCACGCAGTTCTTCCACCAAAACGTGACGATACAGCCCAAGAAGGGCCTGACGCTCGTCTGGCCGTCCGACTGGACCTTCATGCACCGCGGCGTCTCGTCGCCGACGCAGGAGAAGCGCATCATGACGGGCTGGTTCAATTTTGCGTGAGGCGGCGGGGGGCACAGGATCCGCGACCATGTTTGTGCATGTAGTACCCCCCGCACAGCGCAGTGCTAATACATACATACCCCCACGAAATTTGTAATTAAATTTCGAAATTCTTTTATACACGATTGTGAAAATGAGCTTGAGGGCGGTCGAGTGCACGGGGCTAAGTGCCTCGCCGTCCTCGCAGGCAGGAGTCGCCGCGCCAGTCCCGTGCCCCCGCTACGGGAGGTGTGGAGGGTGAGTTGAACAGGGGTTGTGCGCCAAGCCCTCCTGCTCTGCTCCAGCCGGTAGACAAGTCTTGTCACTAACAGAGTAGAAGGATCTGACCTCGGGGCCGATGTGACCAAGCGCTGGTAGCGTGGTTTTACCTCACACCCATGGTCTCACAGTGTGCCGGCAGTCGCCGAGCAGTGTCGCTCACACAAGCCGCAGCACAAGTGACTGAGGGCCAGTGAGGGCGAGCCCATCGCTGTCACAGCTGTGGTAGCCGCACAGTAGGCTGTGTCAGCTGTGCAGAGTGTGTGAGCAGCAGAGGAGCTGCTCTCCAGGCTTCAGGCGCAAAGAGCTGCATGCCACCGAAAGCGCTGTCGAGGTTCGCCGAGCGCGGCGCAGGTTGGAGGACACCGTCACCGACGAGCGCGTTGGAGTATTCACTCCGGATAATGACGGCTACACGCACACGAGCCGCGGTCGTGTAGCCGTCATAGTGGCGAGGCGCGGGACCGTCTGTGGCGAGGTGGGTCGCGTCCTCCGATTTTGTTACCCAGCATCCACACCCTTTATGTCCTAAATAAATAAATAAAAACGGACACCTCTCTACTGTGAGATGGGTAAAAAGGAACAGGCCCCCGCCCTTGCGATCTTTGTGCAGGGTTCTTTGTGGGTGTGGTCGGCGACTAGCCGGGGTCGTCCTCCCGATGGGGGACTAGCACTAGCCGTCTTCCACATGGTCCCTCGGGTCCCTGCTGCTCCTAATCTCTTCGTACATCCTCCTGCTGATCTCCGCAAAGTCCTGCTCCCTCCCTCGTCTCACCCTGCGCGTCTGCTCCGCCTCACCGTCTTCTGCCCTGCGTCGTCTGGCGACGGGTCCTCCATAGTCGGTCGAAGTCGCCGCCCTCCTCGTGCCTCTTCCCAACGTTCCCTCGGCGGCCGATGCCGTCTGCTCCGGCTCCCCAGTCCCCGGGTCTGCCCTGCTCTCGTCTGCGCTAGTTTCTGCTTCGTCCTCCTTTATGTCCTGCGAGATTTCTAAAATTCTTTTGTAAACACTACAGGTTGGCTCGCTAGTCGCTCGCCGGGCCCGCGCAGCACGCGCGGGCCTATTTTTGCGGTTGATAAGTGGCACCTTCGACATTGCGTTTCTTTTCTTTATAGGCTGTGTGTGTGTGTGTGTGTGTGTGTGACTCACACTTTATAGGCTGTCCTCTATTTAGGATTCCTAAGCTTAAAGGCCCGCTAAACGCGCGAGGCGGTGGCGGCGGTGGGGGGGATTGACAGGGGAGGCGGCGGGATTGACAGGGGATGGGGCGGCCACGAGCGGAGCGGCGGCGAGAGGGGGGGCGGCGGCGAGGCGCCAACGAGCGAGGAGCCCGCGCCATCAGAGGGACGCGCCGCTGCGAGATGGAGGGCGGCGGTGACGGAGGCAAGGCGCGAGGCGGCGGCGGCGGCGGCGGCGGCGAGAACGGCGGCACCGAGTTGTCTCGGTGAGCGGAGCGGCGGCAGGAGGAGGAGCAGCTCGCTGTTGAGCGCTTTTGAGCCTGGGAGCCCATGTCACTGCGACCGGCGTGCCCGGGAACAGAGATCGCGCGCGCGCCGCCACTCACGACGCGCACGCGATCTTCGCGGAGTCGGGTCCCCAGAGGGAAGCGGTCTTCTCAACCGACGTCCAGCGGCGCGGAAGGACAGGCGCAGCGGTGCACCGCGCCGCGTTGATTCGCGACCACCGTCGGCCGCGGACGGCGGCGGCGTGGCGGCCGCGGGCGCTCGTGAGACGCGCCGCTCTGCGCTGGTTCGGTTCGTTCGACTCGTTGTGCCGCCACACGCCCGGCGGCCGCGGGTCCCAGAAGTGGTTGCGCGGGCCTCTTCCTGGCGGCCGCGGGACGGCGTCGGGCACGTCGTCGGTCGCAACAGATGCGTGGCGAGCCGCGGCACGTCGTTCCTGGCGCTGGTGGTTTGAGGTCGGCATAGTCCAGAGCAAGGTGGACGAGTCGCGAGCTTCAGCTGGCCGAGGGTGCCACCTTTGTGCTCTTTGTGCACGAAATGGGAAATATGTATGTATTAGTAGGGACGGCTCGATTGGACGGAGGGTGGACGCGTCCAAGAGGGGGGGGTCAAAGGGGGGGGGTCGGCTCGTATTGGGTTCTGGATTTGTGTTATATTACCCAAAAGCTAGGCTACACAACGCCCTCTATGTTGGGTCAAGGCGGGCGCCTAGAAGAAAGCGCCGCCCCCCGAGGGGGAATCCCACCCGTACCCCGAGCCCCCGTCGAAGAGCGCGTCGTTCTGGATTTTGCTCTCGGCGTGGATGAGCGGCCTCGGATCACGGTCACGTCGGCGAGGACAGCGACGGCGTCGTTGGTAGCGCAGGGGCGAGGGCGTCGACCGACGGGCGGCGCACCAGGAGCCCTCGCTGGCGCGGTAGGTCACGGAACCACGGGTCGAGCCCCTCCGCCAATCGAGGCGGCGTCGAGACGGTGAGCGGCTGACGTCCTCGCGGGCGTGGCGGAGTACGGCCGACACTATGTGCTGCGGCAGCCCGCGGAGACGCAGGAGGCGCGGCGGAGCGGCTGCGCTTGGACGCGACGGCGAGGCTGGCCGGGCACGCTGTCGTCGAGACAGGCACGCACGTCGAGATCCTAGGCGAGCAGGGTGGTCGGCCACCATCACGTGGCGGGAGGAGGGTTCGGGCGGCCGGCTCGTGTGGATGCGGTCGAGTACGACGGCTACCCGGACGCCGAGCCTCTCCTCTCCTTAGAGGAAGAGACGTGGTAACCCAACAAGTGTTTCATACGATAAGGATATAGTGAGAAAAGTGCTCGGGAGAGGTCGTACGGGGCGGTTCCGTACTCCTCGGCGTGGGTACTGACATCCCTGAGCGCGCGGGAGCGCGCGGGCGATTGCGTATTATTGCGGGCCCTGTAGAGGGATATCGATATGCAGCGCGCGCCTTGTGCGCTTGTGGTAAAAATGTAGAGCGCTATTCATTAACTCCCTGCCGTTTAGCGTTTTCTATACATTTTGTTGTAAAATTCTATACATTTAGCTGCGCAGATACAGATCCCGACTGTTCACAGTGGGGATGAGAGAGAGTCGTCTCTAATATGTTAGCTCGTCGTTACGAGGAAGCCTCAGCATGTTACATAAAACGCCCTATGCCAACGCAGCGCAACTCTTGGAAGTGGTTAGCGCGATCCAACCCTTGCCGCTTGAGCCGAACTGCAAAGTTGCTCGTCACCTCTACACCTGCTCCACCTCTGGCAGCTGCTCCAGCTGCGAATCCTCCTCGGTAACGACTGGGTCGGACGTCGTCGAGCCGCGAGGCACGGTAGTGAAGCGCCCGATATTCGAAAGCGAGTCGCGGATGCTCGAGCGAGCGCTCACCGGGGTTGCGCCCAGAGCCTTGGCCAGCAGCACGAGCGACACCTGTGAGACCGGGGGTGCAAGATCAGTCGCTTCAGGAGGCGGGCGCTGTGGCAAAGGTGCCGCCGGGGGAGCGCACCTCATGGTGCAGGCCAGGGAAGCAGGCAATGGCGAGGGCGTCGTAGAGCCCGGCGTTGATGAGCTCCTGCGGCGGCGGGGAAGGGGGGCATGGAGCGGGCGGGACATAAAAGATCGACCGCTGATCGGCAGCGTTCCTGCGGCGTGGTCTCAAAAAACTTGGCGAACTCACAGCCGCCGCGGTCGAGGTCGTTCTCGTGCGCCATGACGATCTTCAGCCTGTCCTGGCGCGCCTGCTTGACCTGCTCGGCCAGCCGCTCGTCGGACCAGGTGTCGGCGTTCAGATAGAGAAGCATGTGCGTGGCGTCGCCCGCCTCCTCGGCGGTGGAGACGGTGAGACCGGAGAAATTGGTGGCGAGCTCGCTGGCCAGCTCGTCTGCGCCCTCATCGAACGGCGAGGCCCAGAGCACGACGGACTTGGAGAAGGAGATCGGCTGGCCCTGGACCTCGCCCGGGATGAAGAGCGCGAGGGAGGTCAGGTTCAGGTAGTGTGGCGAGCAGAGGAGGAGCGCCTGTGGGTAGGTGCGAGGGGGCGGCGGTCAAGGTCGAGGCGACGGCAGAACAGCTGCAGGTCCGTGGCGGCACCTCGGAGATGATCTTAAGCGAGACACGCTGATACTCGTCGATGCGGTGCCACGTCGTCTGCGCCCACCCCCTGTCAAAGATCTCCGGCTGGAGGACCTCCGGGCACTGTGCTCGCAACTCCTGCAGTCGTGCAGCGACGGTATGCGTGAGTGAGTGCTGGCGTGCGGCGGCGGCGGCGACACCGCCCCTCAGAGCCGTGTGTGGCGAGAGCAATCCCCGCAGGGTCATCGAGCAGGGGTCGGGCGGGGAGCGCCTGCAGCGTCCCGCCGCCCTTGGCCGGGTCCGCCTCTTGCACGAGGACGAGCGGCTTGCTCTTCTCGAGCGACGTCCGAATCTCGCGCAGGCAGTTCTGCAGGCAAGGAGCGCACGAGTAGTCGTGGGCGACACAGCGAGGCACGGAAAGGGAGGGGCTGGGGGAGTGCCTTCGAGCGGAAGTAGCCCTTCGACAGGAAGAAGAGCATGACCTGCGTGCGGTCAACGTAATCCTCCAGCGACCCGATGTCCTTCAAATCATCCACATCGAGGAAGATCTTGATGCCGGGGATCAAGAGCTTAAGCTCATTCTTGATGACCGCGACGGCGTCTTGGCCGGTGGACCTATTCGGGGAGTGGCGGGTCGTTCTGGCGGGTTCTCCTACGCCGCGTCTCCCTCTGACCACAGGACTGACCAGATGTGCGAGAGGAAGAGGTGCCACGTGAGGCCGTCCACCAGAGCCAGCTCGGGGGGCTGCTTGGTTGAGACGAGGCGAATCGTGGGGACCTTGGCAAGGCGGCGGATGGCGATGATGGTACCCACGAGGAAGATCAGGAGCGCAGCCGCAGTAAGGACGAGCATCCAGTTCACCAGTCCATTCTCAGACCTGAAGCCGAGGACGGCGGAGGCCGACTGCCCCGGCTCGTCCCCGGGGAATCGCAACTCGATGTTGAGGAAGATGGTGGTCCAGCTGGCACCGAGGAAGAGGAGGAGGAGGACGAGGCTGGTGGCCTGCAGTGCGAGCCGCGTGCGTTGGGCTCAGAGTGGACTGCAGAGTGACTGCAGGGGAAGGGCGTGTGTGGGGTGGGTGATGGACTGGCGATGGCGATCCAAGCGTGTGCTGAGAGCTGCAGCACAAGCAAGCGCAAAGGGCGCGTGGGATGGGCGAAGGGCGCACCACGGCGAGGATGTTGTCCCCGAACCGCTTGTAGGGCTGGACCAGGGCGATCGCGACGGCGTAGCACGAACACACGAGCACCGCCACGACGAGACGAACAAAGGAGTCCTCCTCCTCGGCAACCAGCAGCACGAAGCCCGTCAGAAAGAGCTTGCGGGCCAGATCGGCCGCCTCCCACCAGTACCAGTTCCTTTTGTACTCCCGGTGAAGGAAGGCGGTGGCCTTCGTCAGCGCGTTCGGCGACTTGGCCTGCAGCGGCTTGTAGCATGCGAGAAGAAGGGCCGAGTAGAGGACTAGCGAGCCGACCGGCCAGATGACGACGAAGCCGGTGGCGAGTCTCGTGATGGAGTCGTGCTCGTCGGTGCCGCACTCGACGCTCGCGTCCTGCCGCATGTACTCGACCAGAGCGAGCGTCTCGCCCGGCGCAGAGGTGGTGTAGCCCTGCGCACGCACATCGACACAAGCTAAGGGGGTTGGGGGGGGGGGGGGGTGCTTGTTTGTTTGTGGCTAGCACCTGGCACGACCACGCGCGCAAGATTGTGGCGCTCACAGACGGCACGAAGAGAAAGATGAGCACGAGACCCGCCGGCGTGAGGTCGAGGAGGCCGAGCGCCACCTCTGCAGGCCATGAAAAGACCGCCGCATCGTCAGTTTCGGCCAGCGCCGTCGGTGGCTCCGCAGCTGAAGACGATGGTGGCTCCTGCAGCTGTGCTTCGCCACCGAGAACGTTGCTTGTCGCGCCGTCGACCTCGGAGCCGCTCTCGCGGCCAGCCCCTCGCCGAGCACGCCGCCAGCGAGCACAGAGCCGCAAGACAATGCCAGCAAAGAGGAGCAGGGCGATGACGCCGATGGGAGAGATCGCGACGGCGACGAGCCGGGACTTGTGCGGCAGGCACTGCACCGGCAGCACGATGCCCGACCAGTCGATGAAGACGGCTTCGGCCAGCGCCTCCGTCCAGCCCGTGTACCGTTCCGGCAGCCGCGCCGAGTAGGTGGTGGAGAGGACGAGGCAGACCTGGTAGAAGCCAAACAAGATCTTGAACTTGGGGATGAGGCCGATTTTGTAAATCGCGTCACCGGTGCGGTCGGCGATGCGCAAGGGAAGTCCGATGAAGCGCTCCTTCCTCCATTCGGTTTGCCCGCGCTGAGTTGAGTACGCCAACGCCACGAGGCCAAACGCGACGCAGAGGCCGAGGGCGGTGCCCGCCATGCGCCCCGCCGCCGTGCCGACAGCGACGCACTCGTTGCAGGCGGCGCCGTCGGCGTCCAGGTAGTGGTTCGGCTCGCGGCAGAGCTGGCACTCGGGGCCGGCGAAGGCGTCTGCGCAGTAGTCCAAGCCGGCCTCCTGCACCCTCCGACCGCTAGCCTCTCCCGGATCAACATTGCCGACACACCGCGCCTGGCCCGCCTGGCCATCCCCTCCAAAGGCGCGGCACTCTGTGAGCTCGGCGCTGGAGAAGCTGGCGCGCCAGAAGCCGAGCGGGACGCCGAGGGTCTCGAGGGTCGTGCCGACCGGGCACGCGGCGTCCGATGGGCATGGCTTGCAGTACTCGGTTGGGGATTTGAAGACGTCGGCCGGGTCGGCGCTCGCCTTCAGGTAGAATCCCGCCTTGCAGACGGAGCAGGTGACGCTGCCAGTGCCGCTGGCAAGAGGGTAGGGGCAGGGGATGCACTCGCCCTGGCCCTCGTTGGCGGCGTAAGTGTCGGCAGCGCACTCGTCGCAGGAAGAGCTGCCGGCGCCGGAGGACGTGCCGCGAGGGCACCTCTCGCAGATGCTCTGTCCGGCGAGGGCGGTGAAGGTGCCTGGCGAGCACGGCGTCTGCTCGGTGGAGCCCGTCACCGCAAAAAAGCCAGCATCGGCCGGCGTGCAGTCGTCCGGCTCGTCGTTGTCGGCCGCGCGCGAGTAGCTGCCGCCCTCGCACGGCAGCGGCGCCGACGCGCCCTCGGCGCAGTAGCTGCCCTCCACGCACGGAAGGCAGCTCGTCGCGTTCGACTCGCCCTGGTACGTCCCGCCCGCACAGCTGGCGCACTTGGAGAGGCCGGCCGTGGCGGCGAAAGAGCCCGGCGAGCACTCGGAGGGCGGCGCCGCCCCGCCGCCGCACGACGAGCCGGCGGGGCAGGTAAGGCACTCGGGGTCGCCGCTCCGGTCGGTCAGCCTGGCGTACGTGCCCGCCTCGCACTGCGCGTCCAGCTCGCGCGACGACCCCACCGGGCAAAACTTGCCGGGAGCGCAGCGGACGCAGGCAGCGGCGGCGGGCGCGCTCTGGTAGTAGCCCTGGCCGCACAGCTCGCAGGCCTCGCTGCGCGCCTTGGCGGCGAAGCTACCCTCGCGACACGGCGTCTGCTCTGTGGAGCCGGTGGTGGCAAAGTGGCCCGGCGAGGCGTCGACGCACTGCGAGGCGGCGGTGAGGTCCGTCTTGTCCGAGTAGGTACCCGCATCGCACGGCAGCGGCGCCGACGCGCCCTTGGCGCAGTACCGTCCCTTCTCGCAGTCGCGGCAGGACGTCGCGCCCGTATCGTTCTGATAACTGCCGGCAGGGCAGTCCTTGCA